AAACGAAATTGTCACTTTTGAGTATATTGATATCCCGGTGGTGAGGATGGGTTGGGGAGAGGGACTTCGGGAATGGGCTGAATATAGCCAAGGGAGGCAGCTGCCCTAGCAGGAGCAGCACCTGATAGGTCTTGACCCTCCGGTGGTCAAGGATGTAGTGTGTGTGTCAGTCAGTCACATTTCATACCTCTACCATTCTATCTGCTATTGAATATGAAGATGAATATAACCATCTTTTTCTCTGGGGACTTTGCCAGCAAGAGTGAAGTAGTGATGTGAATGGCTGCCTGAGGCCACAGGAACATCAGGCATTTTTAAGTCCACAGATGGAAAAATCTGTCAGTTTTGCTGTAGGCTCACCTTGTTACTGTTGGGTAAATTTAGCACTAATCATGGTATGACAAGACTCATTGATTTTCATCACCTTGTTACTTTAAGAAATTTTGGTTTCTGAAGTGTAACGTGAATTTTCCATGCCTTAAATATCTTGAAAGTGTATAGGTGCTCTGCTCTAGGGTGAGGATGTTCCCTTTTGATTTTGATATTCAGGGATGTGATTTCTCCATTTTTGTTTTCCTTTTTTTTTTTCCATCGGTTTAGGTGACCCACGTGAACCGCGTAGATCTGTTGAGAAAAATGGGGGGGGGGGATGACCATGTCGAGAGAAATGTTTGACAATAAATAACAATAATTGACCCTCTAGGGCCAATTGGCCAGTTTAATGACTCCCATGTGAGGACGATGAGCCAGTATAGTGGCCACACACTACATGTTCATGCATTAATGATTACATCATATTATACAGTACTGTACTCTATTTCTCATTGGCTGAGTATTGCTTGTTTTTCATTCAATTCTTCATTTCTTTAGTATTTCATTGACCAAAAATCAATGACGTCATACAACCCCACCATTAGAAGCATTATAATATGCTGCTCCAGCCTATCTACTTGATCCACCGGCTAAGCATTTTTCATTATAACTAAGTTTCTATAATTTACACTTCTGATGATCTCAATTTATTCTATAACCTATACCATATTTCATAGTTGTATACGGTAGGCAACTCAATAAATCAACAAAGCAACTACCTAGTGTATGTGTATCATTGCTGGACGACTTCTTATTTCACAATATCACTTTGTCAAGGATGTTGTGAAAGTAGAAGCCTTCCAGCGCAGAGCAACAAATATGATACCTTCATTACGTAACAAACCCTATGAAGAGAGGTTGGGGGAACTAGACTTGTTTACATTAAAGAAGTGGCGAATCAAGGTAGATTTATCGAATGTTTTATAATATTCAAAGGTTTCACCAACATTGACCCAAACAAACTATTTAAACTTGATAACTCTCGTACTAGAAGTAATGGGATGAAGCTAAGATGCCGACAGGTACAGTTAGACTCTACAAAATATTTTTTCAGTAGTGACATTGTTAGAGAGTGGAAAAAGCTTCCAGCTTCAGTTATTCAAAGCAATACGATAAACACCTTCAAAAAATACCTCGATTGCTACTTCTCTGACAAAGATACTCCCTTTTTTTTTTTAAGGGACAGACCACCTCGAATGGACCTAAGAGTCTGTGTGGTCTGTGTTTCTATGTAAATCTGTGTGTGTTTCAACAGATACATCATACATCTTCTTTCTTTGCTTGTAGGGGAGCTTCCATCTGTTTCTCATTTTCTCGTAATATGATTGGCTAAAGTCATATGACTCCAGTGCTTCGTATTTTGGCCTAAGCTTTAGGATCGAGTACAGTACTGTATTGGCATTTTTAGGTTCATCATAATATTTAACATTAATCTGAATTATTAATGCATAATAATACCACTCATAACTGGAGATTACCTGCAACTCATTTTAGGGACGGCACATGATACACGAACGGTCCCTGTGTCTCATGACAACCCGTCTGGACTCTATACTACCCCAACTTTACTAGTCTCTTTTTAGTGAGGGGGAAGTGAGGACATACATTTGGGCTTTATCACTGGCAATACCTACGCTTGCCTTCGTTAGTTGTTTGGATTAGCCTTGATCATTTAGTGATTTTCATTCATCATACACCTAACTTTACACTATGGTTAAGTTTGATAATATTGAGATTATTATTTTTATTTTAAACATCTGACTGCAGGAGCAAAAATCATCTGGAGTTAGCTAGATTCAAGGGAAATCAAGAAATACGGTGTAGTTCATGAGGTATTGTACTTTATGGTGTGATAGACAGTTCAGAAGATGTTTTGTAGTACTGTATAGATATTGTGGTGCTTATGGTGTGTGTTGTGGATAATTCATTGAAGTACTGTATTTGCTACCAGCGCCATAAAGAGAAGGAAACAGGCAAAAAGGAGAGACGTGGGATATGTGCAGGTGGGAGGTGATGGTGGTGATACTCTACTGCTTGTCTTCCTTCAATAGTTTCAGTCTGGTGTTCATGAGTGTTCTTTTTCCTTTCATGTTTTTATTTATTTTAGAAAATGTTAATGTTTTGTTTCAGTATTTCTAGAGATTTTTAATGATTTAATCTCAGGAATTTAATATTTTTTGACTGGCAACACTGCGCCGCTCAGTTCGTTCAGATTTAAATCACATGAACCGACTTATCTGAGTGGAAAATGGAAAATTGAGTGAAGTGATTGTGAGTGGTGGAATATCACACGACGCACTGATTGCCAATGGAGGTCCGTGGAATTGTATAGTTAGATACATGTTTGTGCAAACATATATCATACGCTATGGCAGTGCTGTTGCTGAGGCAGTGTTACTGATCAGCTGATGTCTGTAGCCTCAGTGAAGATATCTCGATAATTTTTGTTAAAGAAACAGTTAGAATCAAAGAAAACAGTGTGAGAAAATGGCTCAAAAATCAAGTAAGAGCAGAGATGCCTTCCAGCAACAAAAACAGAAGCCTTTATTCTCCCTAAAAAAACCAGCTGAAGCAATTAAAACTAAGAATAAAACAAAACCAAATGAGTGACTATTATCTGGGAAAGAAAACTAAATAATTTGTTTGTATATACCGTGGAACATGGTTATTTTTCTTATTTTAGTACTGTATTACAAATGAGGCGCATTACAAGGGGGTAAAACGCCACTCCGGGCAAAATGCGTTTTTTGATGGATATCACTATTTTCACCCTTCCTCTACATGTTGGTGTTGGATGTAACCCCCTAGGTAGACTAGAAATATGGTTGAAAGTCCTTCAAAAATAGGGTGTCATTTCGCCTCAGGCCGGGAGCTACGTATCTGGCTGTGCGCTCAGTAAGTAAATGTGGTCACCTCCCGTTCAGAGTGAGAGGAGAACGAGCCAATGACAGCAGTCATCCCGCGGACCATACCCTCTGAATCAGCCAATCACAATGGATTTCCCTTGCTACGTCACAGCTCCTCTGCCAATCCGCGCTCCCAGATGCTGCCTCCCTGTTAGTCTTGCCTCGCTGCATAGCATAAGGCGGTTCAGTGTTTCTACTGCTATTTTGGATAACTTTTCGGTGTAACATGGACGTTATTCGTGTTCCACGGGTGTGAGAAGTGCTACGCACTGTCTGGCCAATTTTAGAGCAAGATTCGAGTGAGGCCGGGCCTTCTGGTGTGGGTTCAGGAGCCCTAAATCCTGAGCGTGTGTCTAGTTACAACAATGCTCACGTGGACACCCCAGCCATGCTTGGTGATAGTGATTTTGGTGGTGAATTTTGTGGTGATTATGGTGATGCAAGTGCTACTGGCGATGGTGATGGCCATTAAAGTTATACGCACTCCTCAGGATTTACGTAACTTCAACTTACTACGATCGTCAGGGATAATATAACAAAGGAACTAAATGAAGTAAGATTGTTTTTACCCAAGATTATGCAAACTTTCTCCGCCTTTGTATTCATATGATAATTACGTTGGGGGGAGAGTGTAGTGGTGTTTCCTGATTATTATTCACTATTATACTAAACAATATTATAAATCTTTGGCTAATAATAGGGACAGAAAGATAAATACTGATAGGCAAATGAGTATTTTATTATTAAAATTTTTGGGGGTGGTTTGGGGGATTTATGGGGCTGGGGGGGGGCGAGTGTTGTTTTTGGTGATCATTAACTTGTTTTACTGTATTAGCCCAAAATAATAAGAAAATTTTGCAGAAAAAGTGATTATTGTTGGTGTGAAGATCAAACACCTGTACATCACGGGCAGTTATTCTCATTCAACTCGCGATAAACTAATAACTATTCACAGTACTAACTTCCAGTTTTCACTGTTCACTAGGAGGGGGATTGAGCTGCACAATAAAATAAAAATAACCCTCTAGCTTAAAAAACAACAAAGTTGTGGTTGTTTGAACTTCAAAAAACTTTAAACGTGATTTTCTCTGCTTTTTAAATTTGGCGCTTCACCCCCTTGTAATGCCTCATATGCTATTGAAACCCCAGTTGCTGCTGCATTAGAGATAAATCCCTTTGGTAAAATTTTGAATCCTTACACAATACAGTGCAAACAAAGCTTACCTTTATTTTATCTTCTCTCAATAATGGTGCATAATTAAAAATATTAATCAAATTCAAGTTAAGTAACAACTATAATTTTTACAGGAATTATTGATGACTAAAAGCATGAAAAATAATGTTGCAATAAATATACATGTTTGATTTTGGGTACTGTGTATTTTAACTCTCAGGCACTCACAAAATGAGTAACAATGTGAGAAATTAAATTAAATATGGTAAAATCTTCCCGGGTAGTTGTTTTTTCCCCAGCTTTATTTTTTGTAAGACCCAGTCATATCCCTGAATATTACTGGGTCAGAGGTCAAGCTTGTGTTTGTATATTCTGTCAAGGGTCTGCAGAATTTATTTATTTTTTTGGTAATGAGAGAAAACTGAATTGGAGCATCACTTGTAATAAACTTGATTTTGTGTTGTAACTTTCAATAATTTTCCTGATCATATGTTGTAGCAGATTGTTTAGTAAAAGTATAATGTGCTAAGGTTTATCATTTTTTTCAGGAGGTTCAGACAGCAATAAGGGAAAGAGCAAAAAATGGAGAAAGCTTTTACAATTTCCACATATATCACAGTGTCTAGATTTAAGAAGCAAATTCGGTAAGTATGGACTGATATAATTGTTTGTCTGCTTAATTATTCTATTGGCAACTCCTAGCTATGTGATTAATGTTTGATGTTTATTCTCTATATTAATACTATATCTGTACCTCTGACTAATACCGGTACTTAATAACCCTGGCAGGTGAAGTAGGTAAAGCAACAACAACATACAGTACTCATTTTTCGAGCCGATAAATGGACCATTTTATTAATTTTGTGAATGATACAGTACAGTTTTGTTCTTGATTCACTGTTTACAATGATGTGTCACACTAGTCAGGTATGGAAGCTGTAAACCTGATGGAGACTTGAGTACAGTTATTAAAGTATTGTATTGAACTTGAAATTATTCTCTCTAATATGGCAGAGAGAATGCTATGAGAATGCTATAAGGAAGTGTCTCCTACCAACAGACCTTCAGAACACCAATACTTCTCATGTATATGTTATAATTGATAGAGTAAAGAGATACAAACCTTAGAAAATGCTGAGCTCATATGGAGTTCATGGAAGTACAGGTATATTGAAGGCTGTCAAGAGTGGATAGAAATAACTGGGGGGATTGCATCAGGGGTGTGTTATGTAACCTGGCTACGGTATGTCTTTATGAGAAACACAAGTAAGAGTGGGCTACTGTGGAGTGTTACCTAGACACACTGCAAGTTACTTATGAAACTTAGTTTGGACTTAAAATACTTAACATTGGAATGCTGAATGAGGTTAATAATAATGCATTAATTTTTAAAAGAAGTTCTTCATTTACTCAAATATTATGAGTCATAATTTTGATGAAGATGTGGTTAATGCTGTTAAAATTTGGTGATACAGGTATTTGCTCAATGACTATATTTCTAATAAGAGAATATGGAAATGTTGGATTAGACCTTAGGTGACATTATTGTGACTAGTAATTGTCAGACTTTTCATGTAAGGCTTTGTGCACCATTTTTAGTACCTAATGATAATGTGTTCATTTCACAGGTGGCAGATGACATTACTGTTCCCTTGAGCTTGGTAATGCCTTACAGATTTTCTTAATGCTTACAACTACTATACAGTATACTGTACTCTCAATTTAACGGAATCCGATATAACAAACTCTAGCTTTAACAGAAGGCATTTTTTCTGTTATTTTTCACTCGATGTAGTGAACTAGTTTGCTAAAGTTATATTAATTCTGTGAACTTGCTCACACCTACTTCAACCTGTGGTGAATGTACTAAACATATAAAAACGATAGATAATAATATAAAAAACATCATATAAGATGCACCCCCATTTTAGCAGGAAGTATTTAGGAAACTGTTACCACTAACATAATGTACTTGATAGAACCACACAGGAAAAGGGAAACACTAGAGCTTTTGACTTTATTCAAGACATCTTCAGAGGCAACTGAATTTACAGGAACCGAGAGAGGCTTATTTAAATCGAGTGATCTTACATAACATCGGGTCAGGTCAGTAACATGGGATCCGCTAATCCGCACACCACCTCCACTGCAAACGAAAGAATAGCTTATAAGAAAATGAGTGACATAACAACAGGCAAGGTCAAAAACATGAGACCCACTAATCATCTACCCTACATCCACCTCAAATACTTTCAAAGCATTTTTAACATTAGGCCTGTTATTATTCATTAATTAATACCCCAACATCACACACACAACATGTAGAGTTTAAAGACTTGTGTGAGACACTGTGAGTTGGAGGGGGGAGGCTGGCTGGTGTAGGTTTAATCATTGATAATATAAAATATTAAATACTATAGAACAAATAATATATATATACACCTGTAATTTGACACCAAAATTACATGACAAGCCGAATAATAAGGCAATATTTTCACCCAGACCTCTCCACTTATATGTACTATGTTAATTACTAAAAAGCCATAATTTTGAATATATTACCATACTTTTCTCACTTTGTACTCAAATATACTAAGTTAAAGGACTAAAATATTGTTCTCTACTGCAAACTAAGGGATGTTTATACTCAAATTAATTGCTGTCTTATATAAGAATTCCAGCAATGCAAGTTATATTCTGCTAAGTCAAGTCAGTGCCATTTTATAAGCGAAAAACTTAAACTCCCCGTCTTGTACAATTGTGAATCCCTGACCCCTTCCCTGATAACTACCCACTTGGTAATCTCCCCTCCTGGCTGTCCACACCTCACCTCCCCCTTCATCCTCCCCCTAACCAGAAGGCAATAAGGATTTAGAAGGTGAAAGTGGTTTTAAGCTTAAAGTTTTTCTTTTATAAAATGTTACTGACTTAGCAAAATATAACTTACATTGCTGGAACCCTTGTAAGATAGCAATTAATTTGAGTACTGTATGAACATCTCACAATTTGCACAAGAGATCAATTTTTTGTTCATTAGCTTAGTACATTTGAGTACAAAGTGAGTGCGGTAATTATGTTGCTCAAAATTATGACTTTTTCACAGGGAAAAGTCTGTATAACTATACCGTAGTCACTTTACACTAGCTTGGCCCAGAAGCTACGCCCCCATCTCTATAAGCGAGCTGATTGGTTCATATCAAATGTTCATTTCGCTGTCTATTTATTCATACTAATGTGTTCACTATTTATTATCAGACCTGTTCTCCATAATAATGTTAAAAATTATGAAAATAAAAATGCAAATGATTTTACGGCATTAGCACATCAAAGAGGACGTTAAAATTTTTAAAATATGCATAACGAACGGTCGAAGCCAAACAGAAAGTAACCAAACATATATTACCAAACATATAGCACAATAGACAAATACCTACAGTTCCTAAGGGCTAGATATATCGCAAATCATTGTTTAACTGAAGAAATTATAAACATACGTGTAGTTCGTGGGGAGGTACGCTCAGGGGAACAGCCACAGGGATGGAGCAAACTGCAGAGTTGCCAACAACATTTTACACCAAGTCATTTAATGACTTATTGTTGCTTGATGTTGATATTATACAGTACTCCACCTTTCATACTTAATTGAAAATTGTTCAAGTACATTACTGTATTAATACTGGTAATTATTTTTGTATTTGATACAAATTTTGAAGATGTGAATGGAGTAAAGCTCTTTACCTCTTGATTGTATTGTTGCATTGTACTGTTCCAGTTATGTCGAGTCTCTTATTTAAGATCATGTAGCTTATTTATGAGTATAGGTATTCAGATGTATTACCTTACTGTAAATCTTTCTGTAGGTGATGCATACTTAATGAAGTGTTGTCATAGGAATTGAGCAAAGTTCCCTAATGTCTTTCCTTATTTCTTTTTTATTGCAGATGTAAAGTACAGCTATGTAGTGGATCAGCAGCCAATAGGGAGACTGTTGTTTAGGCAGTTTTGTGAAACTGTAAAGCCTATGTACCACAAGTACAATATTTTCCTAGATGAAGTTGTAAGTCCTTGTTGAGTATTGTACATTTGATCTTCTCTTGGAATACTTAAACCTGCTTACATCTTCTTTACCTAATTCTCAGTATAGTATTCAGAATTCTCCAGTTCTCCAATTTCTTCACTGTTTTAGGTATTGTCTTATAAGATGCAGTAATTCTAAATATAGTAGGACCACATAATTGAGTAAATAGAAAACATAGTTTAGTAAAATTTACTTTTGAGCATTGCATGTAATTGTCCTGTTCTTTTGGAGTACTGATGAAATTTTATTGAAGGCACAGGACTATAATTCTTGTGATGTGTCTTTGAATGTCAAGTATTTCTCATTTGACTACAAAATATGACTTGCTCTATTTAAATTTTTCTCGTTGAATATTATTATTTTTTAATTCAGTCAACTGTGGAAATGTAATGATGAGGGAACTAAGCAGGTGTGTGTGTGTGTGTCTCTCTCTCTCTCTCTCTCTCTCATTCATTGATAATTTCTTCCCATGACCACAGTTGCCATCATAACCTCTTGATTATGTCCCACATTTTCCTATTGTCTTTATTTTTGTCTTTTGTATCTTGCTCACTTCTGGCTTCCTTCTTCCTACCCAGCTGCTTGACTGACCCTGATGAGTCAACCCCTGCCCTTTCCACTAATTGTGCCTCACATTGCAAGCAAATAGCAAGTGCTTTATAAAGGTGATATCCAAACCATGTAGACCTGTGTATCAAATGTTGCCTCGTGAGTCTGGAGATGGTGAAAAGTGTTGGGATTATGATTGATCATCTCTAGTCCTCCCACCTGTTGCTTCCCAACCTTGAAACAACACTTGATGGAGAAGTCTACATGCAGGTTTGATTATCAAATAAGTGAAGCATTTGTTCCTTGCTTGTTATGTAAGGCATAAACATGTGGAAAGGGCCGGGGTTGACTGATCAAGTGCAGTCAGTAGTATATTAAATGTTTGGTTCCCTTCAATTCATTATGGGAAAATGCATCACAAGTCTTTTGATAAGTATATATTTATAATATATTAAACCCAAATCAATTTGCACTTGTACATGCAAATTATTCTTATGTTTTTTGTGCTTGTAATTCATTGGCTATGGTGAGGTACACTGAAGTCTGTCTCTATTGAACAACCATCCAAGTTGCTGAATTTATTTCTACTTGTAAGCAGAAGTTCTCGTTGTCAGTATTTTTGTTTACTTTTAACGCATACAGTAATTCCCCAGGTTACTGAGGGGATGTGTTTGTGAAAAGTTGACTGTAACGTGAAATTCCTTAATGTGAACCCCATTTCCCATTGGCTTCCATTATATAATTGACATGCATTCCTAAAGAAATTTTTTTGGCAAAAAGAAGTAGTACAAGCACACTTATGAATGAAAATACACATTTTTAAACACATACATTGATTATTTTCTGATATGATAATTAGTAAAACCTCGATAAATTGGACTTCAGTATATCAGAATTCGCTTTTTTTTTGGACTCGGAGGTGCTCTGGTCACCAGAAATACTAAAAAAAACATATATATATATATATATATATATATATATATATATATATATATATATATATATATATATATATATATATATATATATATATATATATATATATATATATATATATATATATATATATATGCAGGAGCCCCCCAAATTCGCGGGGGTTAGGTTCTCAAAATGGCCGCGAATCGCCAAACCCATGAATAACATTTGCGGACCGGGGAAGGGGGGTTACATTTTGACAGTTATTTCTTTTACTTGTATTGTATACATGTGTGTATAATGTTTGCCCCTCATGTAACGAGGATGGCTGGCCAAAGGGCCACCTAGGCGTGAATTTGTTTAAAGTGTAGAAGCTGTCACCAACACAACAACCACACCCTGAGTTAACGAGTTGCATGACCTAGTGTCAAGGAATAGTCCGAGAAGACCGGATAACTCGCCAACTGCACTGGCTAACCAATCCCACGGAACATGATCCTCAAATTGATTAACATCCAGGTTCCCAATTACTGCTGGGCAGACAGAGGCATATGGCATAAAAAAACTTGCCCATAGCTTCACCCTGCCCGGGGATCGAACCCGGGACCGCTCTCTTGTGAGGCAAGCTTGCTGACCATTACACCACAGGTTGCCATAGAATGTGTGTGTCTACACACACACACACACACACACACACACACACACACACATATTTACAATACAGGTAAAGGAAATTACTGTCTCTAGAACGAATGGCTCCCTGTCCCAGCCGCGAAAATGCCGACAACTTTAAAAATACCCACAGACATTCTTGGGTACATTCAGGGTGTCATTTGCGAATAATAGAGGACCGCAAAATAAAAATCCATGAACTTGGTGGGCCTCCTGTATACAGTATATATAAAAATTGTGTGTTTTAAGAAATGCGGAAGATTAATAAAAAAAATCTTACGAAATGAACCACACTTACTGAATACTGTACAGTGGTCTAATCAGATTTGCTATAGGCCGACTGAGAACTAAGGCACTTGAGTATGTAAGCAGGCTGGGGCTGATCAGGTGTTGCCACATTCGTCACTAGGCAGATTTATTTATTTATTGATTCAGTATTATGTTCTCATATGATTGGTTTATGGTTCATCATGATTAATATAACATCTTCAGTAAGAGAGAAAAAATACAATGCTGTATGTGATTTATAATATGACTTGAAAATAAAAGGATGAGCTGTATGAGAAGGTTATTTACTCAAGATGCGTTCGTGTGAGAGCTTTCAGTAGACCAGCTTACAACAGGGTTCACAATAATACACTGTATAATATTTGATATGAAGATACCTTCCTAACAACGCTATTTACTACCTTTTAGTGTTATAAGATGACTCAATTTAGCTACTTGTACACTTAGACAAATGATTAATGAATAAACCAGGGTATATGAAGATACATAATACTGTACAGTACACTACAATATTACTTATTAAATAATGATAAATACACTGCTGTACAATAGTATTTATTAAATGGTGATAAATACATGACTGTACTGTACTAATTTACTAAGTGTTGAAGACAGACATTGTGGGAAGGCAATCAGCTGTTTGCCCTTTGTAAACAAATGACTCATGGTGTTCAGTGTGGATTTCTTTTTTCAGGAAAGCTGATTCTTTTATTAAATTTTTTTTCTTCAATTTCAATTGTTTTTTCCTTGATAGAGGAAGCGGGATCCTAGTGGTGTCACTAGGTACCCCTGTACAATGACACCAGAAGCATCTGGCAAGTGTAACAAGTATATACATTATAAATATTATAAAGGGCTTACTAAAGCCTAAGGAAGGAAGGAAGGATATTCCTTTAACACATAATCAATGTTATTTACATAATATCTGGCCAGTATGGGGAGGATCATCGTGTCTCCGTCAGGGGGTCGTGGAGTGGTGGTCCAGCAGGCGTCACGGAAGCGTTGTGTGTGGGGACATCTTAGGAGGTAGTGGATAAGGGTGCTGCTGTCGGGTCTTCTGCATAATGCACAAGAGCGTTGCTCAGGGGATGCGGGGATACCAATCTCCCAAGCAAAGTCACCCAAGATTCTTTTATGATGATATTTTATCAACTTGGCACCAAATAATCCTGAATTATATGAGAAATGTGGTGATATTGCATAAAGATGTTTTAAAGGAATCTTGGGGGAGAGATAGGGAGGGAGCCACCCACCCATGCTCCCCCTCCCCTCTGCCAGCCGCTCCCAGATAAAAACTCATCTTCTACATACAATATAATTCTACACTTATTTGTTCTTATTTTTATCTTTATAGGACTGTACAATATACAGTTTTCTTTTTATTCATAAGACAAATTCTGTGGTTACTTACATATAACACTACAGTAAATAACAATTATCTCAGTGAAAGCAGATGTTGACGACCACTCTTATGTGTGATTTTCAACCCAAAGAATTCTGTTTCATATTTTTTTCTTGTTGATGTAATATTCTTCTAATAACCTTGTTATACACTTAAAGACCTTAATTGATGAAGTGCAGTCATAACAACTGATTTTCTTTGAACAGTTCAGATAAGCAGTGTTATCCTCCCCCCCCCTCCCAAATATATTCACTTTTTTAGGACTGGGGTCTGCGCCAATTAGTCCGATTTATCGAGGTTCTACTGTGATACATAAAACACTTGAATTTAACTCACCACAAATGATGTTGAGTGCTGTGTAAGGTGATGTGGTGCAATGGGAATTACTGGGAGATGTAGCAAGCCCTAATGTTTTTGCAATCTGGCTAAGTTTATCTCTCACAACAAACCTTCATAAAACATCAAGTTTTATATCCAACGTAATTCCTTTACGGGCTCTTTTAGCACCACTGCTTTCACTTGTACCTGATTGCCTCTTCCCACTCATCATGATTATGGGTAATACACTGGACAGTCTTGAATAAGGTACGTATATAAGTGTTAAATTCAAGAGCTGGGGTCGAAAGATCAAGCGTATGTGCTGGAAGATATAAATAAACTGAGTCCAGTGACATGAATACACAGCTTACCCAGGCTTGATGAGAGCAAACACCAAGAAATCCCACCAAATAAATTGTATATTTTTGTTTTTTCTATAGTGATTTTTGTGTTGAAAATGTACCCACTTTACGGGCCGTATCCCAAGGTTTGTGGTCACAGTTTACAAATTCCGCCTGGGTGAACTTCTGCAACTTGAGTTACTGTAACCTGGGGGAGACTTGTGCTGTTATAATACTATTTCCCCATCTAGTATGAGATGTATTGTTATCTCTATGTTTTATATGGTGTTTACCCACTGAGCACATGAATCCTCTAGTTTTAAATAAGCAGACTCCGAAGGAAGAGGTTATTGGAAAGAGCTGCAGTTTGTGTGTCAGTACAGTAGCTCAAATTGATGATTATTCATTGTGAGGTAGATGATAGCTGAGGGATTCTTGTAGACTGAACATTGTGTGATATATGATCTGGCATTAAATCCTGGTAGTGTTGCAAGTACAACAGCTTCTCAGTAATGTAAGGTGATATATTGACTAATTCAGTTCTTGCTTTGTGGGATATTAGTGAATATCAAAGCCTTCAAATTTGGCCATGTCACTATAGTATGCATTATATTGTTAATCCTCTTCATTGGTTTTGTCCTCCGTGATCAGTTCTCTGGCTTGATCATGGTTAAATTTTTTTTGTTGCAGGAAATTTACCAAGTTGAGGTGGACGAGAAGAGACAGGAGGTTGCACATACCCTTTTTAACAAATATTTACAACCAAGGGTAAGTTTTATTTTAGGAGTGTTATATCTGTTGGTCTGTATGTCTATTTATCCATGTTTGTCTTTGTCTAGCATGACATTCCAGTCTCACCCTATAAATTGCCACGGATGGTTCAGTTATTCATAGCTCCTTAACTCTATAGTATGTACACAGTCACCAGTCTTCAACATGTCAGTGTTTTGAATTACCTGATCCTCCATACATGACTGTTGCTTCCCTATAATGTTCAGGGACATGCCATAAAGGCTCATTAATTTAACAGCTTCCATCACTCTATTAGTGCTTATGCCAGAATATGAAGTGAAGCTAACACCACTAGTCAGTCCTTTGAATCTTGCAGGACCTTTCTCTCTATGCAAGTGTGTTTGTTTTCAGTGATGCTTTAAAATGTTACCCTAATTTGTTGACCAAAGTGGGCAAAAAACAAAATGATGAACACCCACCTACCTACCTACAAATTATACAGTACTTTCTCACCCCTGTTGGCCCACTATATATTTAAAACATCCATTGTCATTTTAGCATTTTTTCCTAACACCTGTATTGAATTATAGCACCAGTTAATCATCATCATTAACGTTTTAGTCATTTTCTTCACTTTCTTGGATTAGCTGTGATTACCTGATGACTTCTCCTGGCTGCATGATCCCTTGTAACTTCACTTGTCAGGTGCATATCCCTGAGATCATTTCACATAACTTCATCCTGTGTTATTCTTGGCTTACTCCAAGCTCTCCTCCCTTTCAAATTGATCTGATTGTTCTCCATTCTCTCCACATGGCTGAACCGTCTCTGCTTACCTCTATGCAAAATGTCACCAATACTCTTTTTGCCTAACTTAGCTCTGAATAGGGTTTCCTATCTCTCAGTGTCACATTACACATACATATCACCATTCTTATTTCAGTTTAAACAAATCTCTGTTTGGCATCTTTAAAAGCCCATGCTTTCATTGACATATAACAAACACTCTACATACAACACAAGTTGTATACTGTATACAGTACATGTATCCTTGATAATCACGGGACCCTATAATCGCTGATCTGGTTTAACACGGTATCCTCAATTGCGACCACGTGTACACTTATCACTGATTGATCTGGGTTATCGTGGAATTATCATGGGACAATGGCGGGTCTGTGAGAGCCAGCGGTAGCAGTAATTGCCAAGAGATGGCAGCATGGCTTGTGGCACCAGCTTCCAGTGACAGCATTTGTTTCTCTGCACTGTTTTTGTCGGTCTTTGAAGATGGTTTCCTGCTCCGTGCTTGTTTTTAGTGCAGATTTTGTAACTTTTACTTACCCTCCACCATGGCACCCGTGAACAAGAAAAATGTTAAGGTTCCTGATCCAGCCAAGCGACTAAGACGTGTGTATTCTCTGGTTGATTGTCCCGATGTTCCTGAGAAGGATAAGCATGCACTTGACAACACACCCATTGCATTTTACTGCCTCCCTCCACTCCACCTCTCTAATCACCTCCACCTTTCTGCTTTCTCACTCCATAATTTAAAATTTATGTATCGTAATATGGAAGGAATACAACGTTGATCATTTATACTTACACTCAGTTCTGTGGGGAGACATCAGCTGCTCAGTTGTGTCTGGCAGTGTTGCAGCCAGTGTTACCTAATAAACTGACTGACGCATCATCTCCTTACCACAATTTCCCCCTTCACCACCAGCTCCATGATCACCAACAACACCACTACCTCTATTATCACCACCTAAATCATAATTTCTGTGATGGATTTGCTTTAGCCAGAGCAGATTAGCACAATGTCCACTACACAATATCCTGCCTACTTTCCATCTTCATCCCTCTCCCACCCACTGAGTCTCACCGACCCTCTGCTTCTCATTCTACTTTGACTGTCATTCATGGTACAATACTGTACTACAATATTGTACAGTACTGTACTTTGTTTATTTGTTATTCATTAATGAGGAAAGATATGTTATTAGTATTAGATTTTTTAGTGTACCTACACACTTTTGGGGATATATTTTGGTCAGTTAGGGGATGCATCTTTGGGGTTGTGGATGAAAAATTTTTTCCCTTTATGTGTTTCGATATGTACGGTTTTGCTTATCACAGTGGTTTTCTGGAACCTAACCCCCATGATTATCGAGGATACATGTACATCAAGTGCATCATTAAACAATCTTCAGACATGAATACAAAGCCCTATTATCACTGATGCACCTAATAATGCACAGTAAATGTTAACAGCTTGGGTAGTAAGTCCAAAGAGTAAACACGGTGGAGGAGTTAAGAGATTATGTCAGGCTGTCTGGGGCAAGAAAAGACATACAGTATGTGTAGTTGTACATTAACACATCATTAACATTATTCCTTTGGAAATGATACATCACAAAATAATCTGAAAAACATTTACCTCTGGGTGAGTTTTCAGTTGGGTGGGACAGTCGAGTTCCTTGGTGAGGTCAGGTAGTCCTACCTTTGCTCACTCATGTGGAGGGACTATGTTATGGGATTTCAGAATCAGTTCATCATTTTCATATTTCTCTGTATTTTTTGTTTTACTCAGATCAAGTGATGGACTATTTTGTTGTTGGTTCTTATGTCTTGTAATGCCTAATGTTATCTACTTTGTAAGACCAAATCTTAACAGACTTCTTATACAAACAAAATACATATTGAATTGTTCAGTACAATTAAAAGGGTTTTTAAAATCTATGCTTAATGCAGTCAACTGTGTAGTTTGTCAGTTGTGTTCTTGGAACATTGTACAACTATGGTAGTCAAGATGAAGATAAGAATGATACAGTATGAAGGTATTGATTTTTTAATGCTCAAGGGTTCTTGCTTTATATCCTCAGATCCCTCTACACATTTTCAGTATGATATAAAAGGTACGTAATTGTGGCTGACAGAAAGCTGAATAATATTAAAAGATTTATTACAACATTTCTAAATGGTAATATTTCTATTATTTTTTTCCCTCAGTCCAAAGAGTGGCAGATAGTAGGAATCCTAAATGAGTCCCTGATAGTGACTTGTAAGGAGAACCTCGAGACTGCAGGGAAAGAACTGTTTCTTGGCTGTGCTGCAGAAGTCAAGCTCTTCCTGGCCAATGAGCCTTTCAAGGAATTTGAGGCTTCCATGTACTTTAATAGATATCTACAATGGAAATGGCTGGAAAGGTGAGTTTCATAGTAACACAACTGCTTCAGTTCTTAAATTGATCATTTATTCTGAGTTGCACCTCTCAGACGAGTAGCTTTTGAGGATGAATTTAGGTAATGCATTTGACATCAAACTTTGCCAATTTTGGCTTGTTTGATGTTCATTATATAGTAATAAAAGATCAAAATTAGTTGATAAAAGATTGGTTTGTATTAAGACTCAGGTACTCCTCTGCCTCCATGAGTGAGTAGATACAGAGGTCACCTCCTGTCTTAGGGGTTGCTGATTTGTGCCCCACTAGCTGTTATTTATTATGGTAATATATCTAGATGGCTCAAAAGTTTAACTGCAACATGCATTAAAACAGGATCTAAAACTTGTAATTAGTATGTGAAAACCAGTGACATTAACCTGTTGAGGAGTAGTGTCACATTTGGGTATTTTCTTTTGGCTAATGCCAGAGAATTTCGTTCATTTGCGAGAAACCCAAATCCTTGTTTAGAATGTTTAGGAGTACCAAAACAGTATTGATAATTTAAAGAACTAAATTTATTTGAAATGTATCTCCACCACCAGGTACATTATTTACACATTTTCTTGACATTGGTAGATCATGAATCTGTTCCATTGTCTCAGTACTGTTTTTTAGGTTGTATTTAATTATTTTGGTTGTACTTGATGTTATTAGGAGGTTGTTCTGTCAGTACACTACATTTATAGGTCTATTAATTGGTTCACAAAAATTAACCCTACCTAACTGCATATTGTAATTTAATATCTATCTACTGTTTTGTTATTTCTAAACTAAATAAAATATACTGTACACTTGGTACATTACCTTATTGGAGGGCTGTCAAGGCCACCACGGGGAGTGAGGTGGGGTGGACTGATTTGAATTTTCAATCTCGCCATCTATTGGATTATTGAGGATCACTTACGGATAGTGGAAAAGAGATGAAAAGAATGCAATTTTCAGATAATGAGGGATACATGTATTAAATGGGTGTGAGTTATCTTAACCTTCTGATCCGCTCATAAACTTAGTGAAGCTGTCGAGGTAATGTAGAACATCTGGTGCCGAGTCAGAAACGTACTGTAATGGACAAATTTGGGCATATATCTTATTTTTTTAGTTATTTTCTTGTTTTGTGGTTCCTATCATTCATTACTTAGCTCCTCTGCTTCCAGTCTAACAAGAAGAACTTGCTTGCCTTTTTTTCTCATTTTAGAAAGAAGTTGTTTCCTGTACAGTATTGGTTCCTATTTATAATAGATTGCATTTGTAGTTCAGTACTGTACTTTACTTACATAACAAAAACAGTGTCTTTATGTATGCTAATTTTGTTTTTCTTTTCAGTCAAATAGTAACGTACAAGACGTTCAGAATGTACAGAGTGTTAGGCAAGGGTGGCTTTGGTGAAGTGTGTGCGTGTCAAGTTAGAGCAACTGGCAAAATGTATGCATGTAAGAAGTTAGAAAAGAAGAGAATAAAGAAGAGAAAGGGTGAAGCTATGGTGCTTATAGAGAAGCAAATTCTACAAAAAATTAATTCCAGATTTGTTGTAAGTATATTGTCATATCTCACAGTCAGTGTGGGGCAGGGAATATTGATTGTTTTGTTGGTGTTATATTCACTTATATATGAAGGGGAGCAGTGGCCCAATGGGTACAGCACTTACTTCCTGTCCTAAGATTTCCTGGGACACCCTTAGTTAATCCACCTTTGAATTGGTACAGTGTCTGACTTCAGCTGGGAAGTAATGGCAGGCAACAATAGTCTACAGAGACTTGATATTCAGTGTGTGCTCTCTCTCTCTCTCTCTCTCTCTGTTTATATCATCAGTAAGGTCATATTACCCCCAGGATGTCTTGACCTTGTGTTTCTCTCTCACCCTCATAGCCCAACAGATAATTTTGTTTTGTTGCAGGTTAGTCTAGCGTACGCCTACGAAACAAAAGATTCCCTATGTCTCGTCTTAACCATAATGAATGGCGGGGACCTCAAATTTCACATCTATAATATGGGCCGAGATCCAGGCTTTGACCAAGAGAGAGCCGTTTTCCATGCAGCTGAGGTGTGTATTGGTCTATGTTGGGACCTCAGTCAATTTGTGCATGTATATCTTACTGGATTGACTATAGTATATTTATTTATTTTTCCCCCCCCTCTGTGTTGACTTGATATTCTTGGTGTGGCAGACGAGTCATTTTTATGTTGCAACTGCTTTTTATATCTCTGACTCACTCTCAGCTTGTATCCCTGCATGCCTCCTATTTTTTGACGTGTTACAATATTTTTTTTTTTTTTTTTATAGTTAGGAAGTGATGGTCACAGCCGATGAGTGATAGACATTATTTTGTGCTAGAAACTAAGTATAATTAATGTTATGGGTTGTACAAGTTATATTCTGCTTTGAGTTCCTATACAAGCAGTTCCCAATTTATGAAGATCTGGAGTTATTCCCCCCCTTAAAAAAAAATTTTCTCAGGTTCTGATTTATGTAGGAAAAATCTTTTAGTTAAGAAGTTACAGTATAGTGCTGAGTTTTAGTAAACATGTAGTATCACAGTTGGGGAAAATTCCAAGCTTGCAACTGGGACAAATCAAAGGAAGCTTGTGATTGGTCAAGTCATGCCATGTGAGTTTGTGAGGGGGTGTTGAAATAATAGCAAATGCCACTGATCTTTTTTCACTTTTAAGATAATTACATTACTGTGTGTTTCACATGCTGATCATTACTTACCTGGATTTGGATGTCATTCTAGATCAGCACTTAATGTTAAACTATTTACATAATCAAAGAATATAAATAATAAAAGAGTTCTAGATTAACCCAGTGCACCTCGTTCCACCAGTCAATCAGCTGCATTGATAAAATCTGCTCTAGGCAAAGCTCGTATGAATGGAGTACAGTATAGTTATACTGTAGAGAGCATGTAGCATTAATGTTTTGGTGAACTCTTTTTGTTAGTGATGTAATGGATGTGAAGTGTAACATTGGTATGAAAATTTAGTCAAGACTACAGTATGTATTCAAGGATTTTGTTTATGTTGGCATAACTTAAAGGATTGTGAAATAGAAAAATTAGGATGGCTTATTTTAGATTATTTTTTTGGATCACAGATGGAAAAAGTATTGTATATGATTCACTATTTAGAAATGGTCTGTGGAATGCTTTAGCACAAACTGTCAGTTGCAGCATCACTTGGTTCTTACAGTGAGCATATAAATAAATCTTAACATAAATTGATCTTACCTTTTGATCTTTTTAACCTTATAATGGATGGGGAACACCAGCACAGAACAGTAATGCTATAGCAGGTCGGGAGAACAAATGACAATACAGGGAGAGAGTGTTTTTTTTTCTTGATTCTGGTCATCTTGCACCAGCAGCAGAAAAGGACTGGCAAACTTAAGGGAAAAACGTTGTTCACCTCTGAGGATGACTTAACAAAAAGGTCATGTGGGCACAGGCCATAAATTGAACCGTGTCAATTTTCAAATTCAGGTCCAGATCCGCAAAGGTTCACTTAATTAATATTCTTTGGAACTGAAGCTGTAAGGATACATCTAAGTGGTTGACTTGTTAAAATTACTACAAAGGTAACATAAAAACATGATATACAACTTTACCAAGAAGTTGCCTTAGCTAGGTATATTTATTCGAAGCACCAGAAAAAACCCAAAACAATATCTTTGGTAGAAAATCCTGTACATTAGTTGTGTCTCGTAGCAACAGTATTGGTAAGTGAATGGAAAGTATTTAATTAAGGGTGCCATCAGTGCCTATCTATCTCATGCATCACAAGATGTGCCACCTATTGTAACATTTGGAGGACCTTTTGATGCACAAGTACTGTACTTAAAAAATTTCACCGTTTCTCTTTATATTTACTTAATTTTTGTATATTTAAAAAAATATATATTAATTATTGACTGGTGTATCTGGGTAGTTATATTCTGGTGCTAAAGGGGTTTAATGAATTATGCACATATGATTGTATAGTGCTCACTAGTGTACAAGCATAAGGGTTTGTTTTTTAATGGGGTCTGTAAAACTTGATTCATATACCCTGTATACTACAGTACTACAGTGTATGGATGGTGATGCGCATGTGCCAAAATGGTTATACTGATGATTTTTGGCAGTATTATGGGTCTTTGTTGTGTAGTAAGTCATGATGGGTTATGTTTTCACTCTTGCATGTCCTTATCTGCTGACGTATGGTGGCTGGAATTAGAGTAATAAAGACTTTTATTCATTTATTGATTAAAGAAGAGTAATTTTAGATGTTGACTTAGATAATGAAGTGTACATGTGCTTGTTTTAGCACTGGAGGTTATCCATGTAATAACAACAACTATTACTTCTAGGTATTGTGTGGATTGGGGCACTTACACACACAGGGCATCGTGTACAGAGACTGTAAGCCTGAAAACATTCTACTAGATGATCATGGTCATGTCCGAATATCTGACCTTGGTTTAGCTGTTCAGATACCTGAAGGAGAGATGGTGCGGGGTAGAGTGGGCACAGTTGGATACATGGGTGAGCAGTTACAAGTAGATAATTTTTCTTAATGTATTTTATGTAGTGAACTACTGTATGAGGTGGCATGCCTCAACAGACTTGAACATGATTTAACAAGGGCAAGTTGAGTTAATTTTTTACGTGCCTAACCAAATCTAAGTTTGCCCAGGTATTCTTTGTTTATTTTGTGTCTACCCTTTCACTAGCTGGCTTATGCCCAGCACCCACCACCTGTGTTGCAGTTGATGGATATTTGAAAACAAACAATATTAATATATATACTGTATATGTTACAATCAAATCGTGTAATCAGCATTTCACGAAATGATTGAATTTGTTTAGTCAAATAGCAAAACAAAGATTTAAATTGGGTTAGGTTAGGTCCTAACCTAAAGTAACGTAACCTAATGTAGCATAGCGCTACGTCATACTACGTTATTTTATATTACGTTACCTTACATTAGTTAGGTTAGAACCCAACCTAACCCAATTGAAACATTCATTTTACTATTTGATAAAATATATATATATATATATATATATATACATTATCTCATATTTTGACTGTCGGTGAATAGATTACAGTACTGTAGTTACATCTGGTAACTTAAATGTTTAACTTGTCTCAAAACAGTCTCTCCTACTGTTACTACACAGCATAAGAATCACTCACTGTCTTAGTACCAGGGCAGTACTGCCAGATGTACAGGTATACTACTATACTGTATTGAGTTGTTCAGTTTTAAATGAGTTTTTCTTGCTTTTATTACACCGATACAAAAGTGGACATCACTGTTTGTGTTAGCATATTGTTTGTCAAGGTAAGCATTTTTTTATGTACAGTTCTATTTATTAGCATGTCACAATAGTCCACAAGTTTTTTTTTCTTATATATACTCAAGCACAGTATCAAATTTTTCTCACTTTTTCACCTCTATGATCTCTTTTGCCAATATCACTCATTCCATCTTGGTGAACAGTAGAAAGCATTTGAAAACTTGCTTATCACACCGCTTGATGCACAGGTTGTGCCACGACACTTGCTCACCACGTGTGATGCTTGGTATCTTTTGTTTTTCTATTTGCTTTGTCGGTTTCATATGCACCAAGCAGGTAATGAAAAAGCTTTTAGTTATTATACCAGTTATCCAAATAAGTGTGTGACCTTTCTGTAGATGAAAGACAATAACGCTGTCACAACAGAATCAGACGTGCCAAATCCACCATCTAGCAGTATGTCAGTTTCCTTTCTTGTATATAGAATATAATCCACTATATATCCACTTGTCATAATCATACAGCACAGGTTCACTCCAAAGCAATGGTATTTTGATGGAAAAATGCCTAAAACGTAGTCTTCCTCTCCACAACATTAGGCTTTCATGAATACACAATTCTAGTGATTGCTTATACTTTTCCTGGAATTAACTTCATAAATAATCCACAGCAAATTTGATTTTATGCAACTTAGCACCTTGAACTTGCTGTGTATGGTCGGTAAAGTGCCCCTAATAAGGAGATAATGATCTTGAAGTATCGGTCTTCCAAAAATCTTTTGCTTATACATTTCATCAGCCATCCCTTCATTTATTCTTTTTTTTTGTGGGGGAATGGGGGTTGCTTACAATGCTTCAGTTTAATGATTACTTTTTTTTTTGCACCTTTTCTGTGCAATACAGTTGGACTTTATCAGTTTAACGACCACTGTCAGGAAATGGAATGAAAAATAACTCCCTAGCAGCACTTTGTGCATCTTCCTCTTCATTTGTCATCCCAAAATGACCACCTTGCACAAAAACACATTTTCTTCTGCACATGGAAGACTACTCTCGCCTCACTGTCTGAATCTTTCTTCTTGAACCAGTAGCTGAGCATCAGAAGTATTTTCATTCACTCACTGTTTTTACACCATGTGCCCACTGGAAATTTTTATCCAATTTGGTTGTGGTTTCATGAAGTAATAGATGTAAACAATTGCAAATCAATAACACACATTTAAGCATTGTTTATACGTACAGATATCATCTGTTTTGTATTCGTTAAAACACTCACTATGGCTGTGAGTACAATATTAGGAACATCTAGCTTCTAGTTGTAGATATAGTTTATTACTCATCACAATATTTCAAATATAAATACAGTATTCATTTTACCCCTTAAAAGAATACGTATACTGCAACATGATATAATATCCCCAAAAATCACAATTACTATTAATGTATAAAACAATGATCCTAAGTATGTTCAATAAAGCGATATTATCTGAACATATAGACCAAAAATTACAGAAGATATATTGTTTTATTTAAGAGGGAATATAGTGGGTTACATCTTGTTGTTAGAATGTTGTGTACAGGAACAAAAGTGTCTGTCTCTCTCATGTGTTGTGACTGCTGGGCTTCATAACGTTGGTCAGGCTACAGCTGGTTGGTAGAGATGCCATCTAGTAATTCTTAATGATGGTTAATGGTAATTATCTTCCTTTTTTTTGTAACTGTTAACCAGGAATATTGTATAAACATTTCAAGTTAGATTTTTTAATTGTTACTCATTTATCAAAGGAAACAATGATAAACATTTTTATGTTAAAATTAGAGTTAATGACACGAAGCAGTAACAAACAGCTGGTAGGTGTGAGCAATGCCTTTTTAACCCCTTCCCCCCAAAACATCTACACAGCTATACTTGTGCATGGAAATAATATATATATTATTAATTTAATGCAGGTGCTCACCAGAGATGGCAGAGAAAAATTTTGTGACAAGAAATGGGTCAGGTGACGTGTTCCAGCACAGACTAGTATTTGTTGGTTTCATAACTTTTCTGTTTCATTTGACTGAATTTTCCGTGTGTTTATTTATGCTTATATTACATTGGCTATTTTGATAGCATAGAGAAATTAACAATGTTCAAAACATAGAATACTGTATAATATTAATTTTACATGAAATATATAACACACACATGATAATTTATGTACAAAAAAGACCTGCAAGTGCTTCACCAAGCTTATCTTTTTTCAATAAACAGTGAACTTGAAATTTTAGATGTAAAATTGGTCATTATTAGACAATAAGCTACGAGAAGGAGAATACTGTACAGGTACTATAAGATACATACCAGCAAGCTGTGCAGATTAAGTGCCCAGCAGCCTGGTCATGCCCACATTAGGGATGGTATAAGTAATTTTTCATGTCCCTGTGCCTGGCACTTGCCTGGTGGACAAGTCAGTATTTTGAGAGGAAACTACTCATATGGGAAATTGTCAGGTACTGCATGACTGTACAGGGTGCATGTATAACCAGTGAGGTGACAGGATAGGAGGGGGATGTGTGTGTGTGCTTGACTTGACCCCATATTGTGACATTACGGCTGAGCTGATTCCTGGCATTTCTGTTCCCATAAGGCCCAGGTGGGTGCTACACACTGCTACAGCCTCAGTGACATCACAGTTGATCCTTCCTATTTCTATTGGTCTATTCTGACTGGAATATTTTAAAAGGTAGAAAATGCCTCCCATTGGTTGCTGTATCAGCAGAATTGTGCTATAAAATGAAGTGAAAACTGACCTGGTGAGGGTATTGTAGACAGACAACAAGTGATCTGTGATGACGATAAACACGATATACATTGGTCCCTTGATTAACAAACGGTCCAATTGACGAAATTTTGGTTAACGAATTAGCTCCCATAAGGATTTTCAGCTCGATTAACGAACAAAACTTTGATTAACGAAAGCCTATGAGAAACACGTTTTGTTGTGCGCATCAGCTGGTCGGCCAGTCTGCCAATACAGTAATCAGTTCTATGTTTACATTCGTTTTCAGTGGAGTAAATATCAAGAAAGTTGGTCTCTTGAATATTTGCATTTTTTATATTAAAATTATTCTGAAATTTAGTTTACATATTGATAATATAGACAGTACAGGGAAAGTTTTTGTGCGCCCATCAGCTGATTGAATCACCCAACAACGCTTCTCAGTTTAACTTGGTTTACAGTGGAATGAACATCGAGTTTGTTGGTCTCTTGAATATTTTTGTATTTTACATTAAAATTATTGGTCATTCTGAAATTTATTAAACATAATGATAATATACAGTGCAGAAATTATTATGAAACACGAAGAAGGCATTAGAACCAATGCACTCTAAAGAATATGGCATGTCATCATCGACTGCCTCTACAATCAGCTGTTTGATATGTAAACAAAGCTGCCGGGAATACGATATACACACCTCAAAGTAAGTTAAAATACAGTACAGTATTACCCAGCTTTACACGGTTTCACTTTCCGCGATTTCTCATTTATGCGATTTCTCAGATTTCTCATTTACGAGGAACCGGACTTTCACTTTCCTTTCATTTTCCGCGGTGCATCTACTCACATATGCGGTGAAGTATAATTTTTTTTTAATTTTTTTTATTTAGCTCATAAAATTCATACAAATTACCCTGCCAGAATATAATTTACATTGCTGGAATTCTTACAATATGATGATCATTTTGAATATAAACATCATGGATTTTGCATTAGACATACAAATTTTAGATCTAATGTAATAATTTGGTTTACACAAAGCAAATATTTTATCGTTTGTGCAAAATATATGAAGTTTACATTCAAAATATTCCCTGACCTGCAAGGAATCTAGAAATGTCAATTATATTATCCTAACTTTAGTCTGGGTTATTATTTATTACTAAAAATGTAAATATACTATTTTCTCCCAATCGCTTCTCTGGTAGGGAGGGAAGGTGGGGGGTGGGGGGTAGGAAGGGAGGGAGGGCGGAGGTGGGGTATTTTGATTGACAGATAGTGTCCTTGAAGAATATTTCTTTGTTTATTTACTGAAGATATTTGTTTTAGCTCATAAAATTCATACAAATTACCCGGCCAGAATATAATTTACATTGCTGGAATTCTTACAATATGATGATCATTTTGAATATAAACATCATGGATTTTGCATTAGACATACAAATTTTAGATCTAATGTAATAATTTGGTTTACACAAAGCAAATATTTTATCTTTTGTGCAAAATATATGAAGTTTACATTCAAAATATTCCCTGACCTGCAAGGAATCCAGAAATGTCAATTATATTATCCTAACTTTAGTCTGAGGTATTATTTATTACTAAACGTTAAAATCTAGTGTTTTCACCCAATCATTTCTCAGAGAGGTAGGAGCTAGTGAGCTGGGAAGAGGGGGGGGGGATTTGAGTCCATTATTTGAATGGACATTAACCTGGCGACTGTATTTCTCTTAAATATTAATTGTGTGAGCATACCATCATAAAATTTAGATGTTATTTTTACTACAACATAGGTATTGTGTTGGAAAAAGTGGAGTTTGGGGGTCGGGCCAGTCTCTATTGGAATTAATCCCATATGTTCTGTTGTTCACTTTCCGCGGTACCCTGTGGGTTCAATCGACCACGTATATCGGTAAATCGCGGTACTACTGTATTCTATTGTTTTTTATGTATTTTTGTACAGTATACTGTACAGTACAGTATTTAGTGTATATTTAATGTTTGGTTAATTTTATTACCGTGTATACAGTACTTTGTATGTATACTTTTCTGAGTTGGAACCAATTACCCAATAACCCATTGAAATAATATTCGGTTAACGAAATTTTCGGTGAACAAAATTTTTGGTTAATGAACGGCTCTGTGGAACCAATTGTGTTCGTTAATCCAGGGACAACTGTACCTTAAATTTTTATTATTTATTTTTTTTTTTCATAAAAAAAATGGCCAAGAAATTTCCTCAAATTTGTCAGGGTAAGTAGAAAAAATAAATTGTGGGCACATAAATTTTACAAGTCACTTGCCTGAGACAAGTACATGTGCCACATAATCTGCATTGCCTGATACATAAGTTTTTCAGTAAATCGTTCATGACCACGTCTTTTGTACAGGTACAGTGGGGTATGCTATAACGAATCTAATTGGTTCTAGAACCTTGTTCGTTATAGCATTCGTTTGTTATAGGATTAATCCGTTCCAGGCCCCCAAATACAACCACTTAACACTGAAAAATATAATATAAAATTGTAAAAATTGTAAAAAAGTGCATAAATATGCATCTAAACCCCTGAAATAAAGAATATCATTAATATTTGTAATAATAAAACAATAAATTAAAAAAAAAAAAATTAAATTATGTTCTTTGTAGGAGTTTCGTTCGTTATAGCATTCTCAATTTTATAGGTAAAACCGTTCGTTATAGGAATATTCGTAGTAGGATCCGTTCGTTATAGCATACCCCACTGTACACTTATGCATTATTACAATAATGTGTATTGTTTGCTAGCGGACGGAGGGTGGTGGTCAGATGAATACGAAGCTTCTCCGTAAGTCATTCATTACCACACCTGTAATAAATAAATGCATCTTATAAAGAGGAAAATACAGCACGTGCATTGGAATCTCTCTCTCTCTCTCTTACGTCACATACTCATCTGTTATGTATGATTTCATCTCTTTAATATTGTGTTATTGTAGTGTTGAGATCCTATAATATCATGACTTTTGGGCCCATTTGGGTGAAAACCCCACTTTGACTGATGACTGTAATGTTACCTCGTTGACATCATGCTAAAACAAGTTCAATATACAGGGTATGATGTTCATTAAATGATGAGATTTACAGGAATGCATCACAATCTTATATCGAGTGATGACCGTACCAGTTTGTTTCAGACATCATTAAGTCCATCAGACCATAATCAAAAACATTCCACTAAGTAATCAAATTCTGATTCTTCTATAACAGAACAAGCATCAGTCAAACCAGATTGCGTGCTGTTAAACACACTGTGTAAGCACGATTGGAGGCGTGGTCCACTTCGACTCCTCATACTCCCTCCTCCATTTCCGTGGCTGGTCAGGTTCATCTCCATTGCTCCTGCCTTCATCATCTTCAGAATCATTCTCTTCTCTAACTGTTGTCTCTTCCTCTTCATTATACCATTCATCATCACTGGTGATGTGTATCTGAGTCAGTACTGACCAGTAAATCTGGATTATCTCTACAGATGCTCTGGCAACGTGTTGTTGGCGTACAGGTTGCTCTGTCATCTTGAGAGGTGCTGCCCCATAGTATAAAAATGTAACCGATCACTATATTGCAACAATACAGTAAAGAAAAAAATAATTTGTACCCTTCAAATTTTAAATTGCCCATAATTTGTAATGTTACAAAATATATATTACGAATTTTGTAATTTTTATTAATTTTTTTGAAATATTATGTACTCTATTGTACTGTACCGTACCGTGTGTATGTATTAAAATTTTCATAATATTCGTATATGGCACACATGTAGTGTAGCCATGCAGCCATGGGATGCGACTACCTGCCTCAGTGTAAACAAGTACAGTACTTTACTTGTCATGTGTCTCAGTCACGGTCAGCTCACGTTGGTCAGTCGTGTACAGTACATGTACATCTATCGCGCAAGCTTTTTCCATTTGTTTTCTCATCATTGTCCAGTGTTTGAGCTTTATGTCTGATAACCCTAAATCTGATACAGTACTAAAAAACGTTTAAATTTTGATGGGGACAGATAACGGAAAAGTACTGTTTTTTTTTTTTCCCCCCCTTGGGAGGTGGCCTTCATAGTTTGTATCGGCTAGAACCCCTATTATTTCAAGTTGTTGAGTTTTCACTGGAGCAGGGAACCAAAGTCAAACACTTACCACAAATATTTCAATGAAAAATCTCCTACAGGAATTTTGAATGCAATTAACCCCATGCATGTGTATCAGCTGCAGTGAAGGGTGCCTTTTCTCTACATATTGCTTGAATAATTTAAATTTTTTTCTCATCAGAAGGTTTATCATAAAATGCTTGTATTTTCTTTCAGCACCAGAAGTTATAGACAATGAGAAGTACACCTTCTCCCCAGACTGGTTCAGCTTCGGATGCCTCATATACGAAATGATTGAAGGACAGGCACCTTTCAGAGCACGTAAAGAAAAGGTTTGTAAACATTATTACTTTTATGAACCTTTCTAGCTCGAAACCATTCACCTGGCATCTTTTATTAATGCACAGCCATTATGGGGTGTAGGACAGTTGACTGCTTCTCCAGCTGGAGGCTAATCTTGCAGTTGGCCATCCTCTCCCTTCACAAATGTCCCCTTTCAAAGTATAAATTGGAAGCAAAGGTTGTCCTTTAGTGGCAGGAGATCTAAAGACAGCCAAATCTACCTTATAAGGGCACAGTTTCACCAGCTATGGCCACAATCATGATGTCAGAGGCAGCCCACTAATTTGGTTGTTGTCCCAAGGTTTCTCTCTTTAAGAACTAATGTTACCCAAACTGCCTGCTTATGTTAAGTGTAGTGACCTGGCTAGGTGATATGTAAAAGTACCCAGCAAACTGCTACACAGCAGATGTAGCTCTTCCTGTTCACATGTAGTGCACCTCACCCCCCTCCCCACTAACTCCACTCATGTAGGCTCCCTGCCTCTAGAGGGCAATATTTGTTTCCAATTCATCCATCTAAGGAGGATAAATACAAAGGGGATGGATGGGGTGATTGTAAGATCAACCTCTCTGCTAGTAGTTGGGGTGTGGTCTACTGTTCTAGACCCCTGATAAGGGCTTGAGCTTTAACAGGAGCCTCCTGGCAGTGGACCTAGCTAGAAAATAGGATTTTGGAATCAGTCCTTCAGTTTTGTCTGTAGTAATGTGACCTACCCTGGTAACTACAGTATTACAGTAGCAGGAAGACAGTAAGAAAAATGTAGATTTTTCCTCGGTGTTATAATCAGGCTCTTTCCTGGCCTTAGAGCTTGAAGACTGAGTCATGGTAAACCTTCGGGGATCTTCTCTGGAATATCTACATAATTTCAACCAGTTCACTTGTATATGCTCTCCAGCTATGTTCTTCTCTATCATTATCTCGCTCTCTTCAAACAATAACTGGATGCTTCATCAATTCAATCTCTGCACTTTCTCTTGGTATTGGCTTTAACCTGTATGGTAGAGAGCAGTATCAGGTCCTCTTTAACACTCCTTGCTTTCTGTCCTATAGCACTGACATTAGCATCTGTGAAATTGATGATCTTCATTCTTCTTTAGCTGGCAGAACTTACTCACATTTCATGTATACTGTATCACTTAATGCAATTAGAGTTGGTTGTCTTATTCATCCTTTATGTCTATTTTTATCTAGTAGGTCAACTCATTGTTATTCACCCAACCAAAAAGGTTTAGTTGGATATAGTCATCGTGTTGTGTGTCTGTCTGTAGGGAAACAATTTCTGCAGAGTAAGTCATCTTCTGTCAGGTGTATTACAACCAGTTTTAATACATGAATTATTTGAACACAGTTAATGGGCCCTTAATGGTTTTGGTCTGGGTTGGATGTATTTACGGCTCTTGTTCGGTATTATTGTGGCATTTTATTACCAAGACAAATTGTGAATAATTTAGTTTTTCCTTGCAGTATAGATTTTACACATCTATATAGCAGTGGATTATGGTATGGAGTTTCCTGTCTGTATATCTGTCTGCCTGCATATGTCTCCCTGTGTCAGACTACAGTTTTTTTTTTTTTTTACATTCGTTGTCAGGTACCATTCATCAGTGCATGTTAGTGTATCAGTTCAGTAAATTTAAAATTTATTTTATTAGAAGCTTTTCATGAAAATAAATCAAAATAAGGAAATCTAAAGGAAAATGTTGATTTATGGCCTTTTTATCTCTTTATTAATGTCTGAATTTTCACTGTGTCCACGTGAAAGTTTTTTGTACAAAACCTCAGTCTATCTCATGATATGCTTCACCACTCCTGCACTCACTAGGTATAGTGGCATTTTGAAAATGTCTTTGAAGAAATGTTAATACAGGTTGTACCTCTCTAGTCCGGCAACCTCGGGACCCGACCGGTGCCGGACCATGGAAATTCACCCTTTTCCTGGATAGATAGTGACTTGTGCTTATGCTTGGAAGCACTAGCACCACTTTCTCTGCATCATGGTCTCTTTGAAGACATATTGAAGGGTTAAATGTCGTATAGTAGCTTCTCAAATTTCGCGAGTTTTTAATTCTTAACGTATTTTATTGGAACACAAAAAAATAAATAAATTACAATTTTGACGGCGGAAACTTGAATTTCGACGGGTTTGAACGGCCCGCCAACGTGCAGACGACTTGCATAATCTTGTAAACAGCGTCATTTCTCTTATGTACAAAAGATTCATTATTGTTTATTACTGAATGTCTCTTTTATTGAATTAATGTTTATGTGTGCAAAATGAGCAATACAATGCATTAATAATATTAAAACTTTTTTTTGATTACAAAAGTGACTGACTGGTTCATATATAAACTGAAGAAAATAAGACCTGGCTGTAGCTAGTAAAATTAATATGGTTGTTTTAAGTAATGTTATTTAATAAGAAGAAAGAAGTAAAAGTACATCGAAAATATATCGTCATTACTTACATAAGAATATGAAAGCAACAATTATTTACTATTCATATATATATGTTTAATTTTTAATTAATGTTTGTGTGTAAAATTAACAATACAATTTATTAATAATACGTGAATATTAGAGGAGACGAGACGTCGGCATTGTTTATGTATAAAGCTTACAAAACCAGTGACTGATTGGTTCTACATATTAAACTGAAGAAAATAAGACCCTGATTTTAGCTGTAGTAAAATTTTAAAAAAAATTAATATGGTTGTTTGAAGTACCTGTAATGTTATTTAATGTTAATAAATGGAACAATATAAGTAGCTAACCATTAATGGTAAAAAAAGAGACTGCTTCGTATGTAAGTGCACATGTGAAAACATATCGTCATTACTCTCCATAAGAATATGAAAGCAACACTTATTTACTGCTCATATATATTGAAGGGTTAAATGTTGTACTCTGAACTGCCGGATGTAAACAAACCAATTTCTGCGGTTTTTTTTTTATGATTAGCCCACTGAACTCATTGGGGCCTGAGGGGCAAAAATTTAATACTCCTGTAATAATAATAATAATTCAGATAAGTAAAAAAAAAAGCTGCCTATCTACCTATTGGACAAACTAAAGTCGTTCCGGACCACGGGAGTTTCCGGACCACAGAATGCCGGACTAGAGAGGTACAACCTGTATTAGGATTTGTCTTGACGTTTACTACTAATGCAAGATGTTGTACATGTGCAAAGACCCTCTTCTAAACACCCTGACACCGTATGTAATTATATACTCAGACTTACCCTGTATCACAACCAGTCAGTCTTATCTATCCAATACCATCTTGGATCCCTTCACCCTGGATTTCTCTTAAAATCTTTTTGTATTTGTCAGTTGAGCCTATAACCATAAATGCTGTGCCAAAACATATGTCCATTATTGTATTTGTTTGAGTTTGTCAGTGCTATTTACAAGTTAAATATTTATGCATATTTTCAACTTGTTAGGGATTTCCAGTATTTGTACACTGATTTGGCACAGATTTCCATATGTAACATTATTCAGGTGGGCCTTTGGCATTCACTTAATACTGAAAATAAATACAGCCCCTAAACATTTAAAATCAGGGTTCTCACCAGGAATTAGAACCAAGATGGCCCAAGGAGCTTGTTATGGAAACTTAAATCATATTTGCTTTTTCAAGTAACATTTTTACATCAAATTTGCAGAGATCCCTTCTGAGGGTTACCTTCTATTCAACTAAAATTCTGTAAATTTTCAAGTCGTAAAAATTTTAGGTTTGAAATCGAATTTCATGGTGATAGAGTTAGGATATGCTTGGAGCAGTGCCTTTGTTGTATTCTTAGGGGAGAATCCTAGTCACAGCTCGTCTGTCCACTGTAATACTGTACAGTATAAAATTTTTCCTTATGAATAAGTGCTGCATATGCTCTCTTTTACTTTTCCAGCATTTTTACAACAAGCATTCTCTTGATGAAGATCTGGTCCACACATCTGCATCCTTCTTTAAATCTCCAAGGGTGAACATTAAGGGCTCGGCACGACTTGTCCTGGGGGAAAGTCACGGTAAAAGCTTACGTGTCCAAGAAGAGATTTGTACTTGCCCAAGACCTTTAGCTATCATATTCTGTTAAATGATTGTCATGTGTTAATTGTATTTGTTCTAAGTAAACCTGTAACTTCAGGAAAGATCTGCTATTCGTACAAAAACACTTGAGCAATCCCTGAAATCCACTTGCCTACACAGGCGAGTTGAACCTGAAATTTACCTGTCCAACTCTCGTATATACTTGCCTAAGACCGTTGGACACATGTTAATGTTCAGCCCTGATTTGTCACTTGTAAACTTCACAATCCCATCACCACCTATTCCCTTATACACATGGTGGGCTGTTACAACACTTATTTTTTTTAAATCAAATGCACATTGTATCATCTCCGTCTCAAGAGCATTGTCTGGCCAGTCTAATTAACTAGCCCTCAACTCAGGTTCTCATGTTTACTGCATGAAGCTTATTGTTCTCTTTATATCTTGCATATTTTTTATATTCAACTGATTCCCTGTGATTTTTTCGATCTTTATGGTACATTAATGTCACTAAACTATAATCATTTCCTCCTTTACAAGTTAGAGCTTGTTATGCTGCTTTATATCCTTTGATATATTATCTTATGAGAAGATTCCATTTCACACAACATTGTTTATATGGAAGTTTAAGACATTCTACTTTCTTTTAGGTCTGATTCATCCTTGTTAATTCTTTGTACTTTTCTTCTGCAATTTACTCATACATGTTCTTAAGTAATATACTGTATCTTTTCTCTTACTGCTTAGCAGTTATTTTTATCTTGCCATTTCCAGGCCCTTACAATCATTCAAGGTTTATAAGTCCATGCATTTTCTTGTAGGTAATTTTTTCAACATTTAGTTTTGTTGTCAGTGTGTAAACTTGCAGTTATTCTTTTCTCACATGTATCATTTCCATCTTTGTGAGCATGGTGATGCATGTAATATTTTTTTTTTCTAAGCAGATTGGCTAGAGTACACCTCCAAACATTTAGCATATTCCGAGAAACTTAGCATGTTGCTTTAGATGATACAAAGTGAAGCATATACCAAGAATATTTGAAAAGAATAAATCTCTTATTGAACAAGCAAAAACAGACTTTGCCTCTCTATAACATATTACTTGTTAGTAGCTGGCTGGTAGGGGATTTTAGAACTGACATTTGTTCATATAATTTAGTTTTTATTTTATTTAATTTTCTACAATACTTTTTGGCTCTTCCATATGGATCAGAAAATACTGGATGTACAGTACAATATATACAGTATAGGTTTCTTGAATTTATTATAAATTTAAGTTTGTGTTGGTACATGATGCGTGTTGACTAGTATATTGATTATGTCAAATTGGCTAGTTAGTTTGTTGTCAGTGTTGATAATTTTGTATTTTCTTGGGAATACCAGGACAGCTGCCTCGCTACCACATTTAATGTGATCCAGAAATTATCACCCTGCATTATGACCATGTGTGCCAAGCCTTGAAGAAGTTGTTGAGTTTGTAATGCAGCAGTTGGTGACATAGGGTAGCACACTTCTTGCTGCTTATTTGAATTGTAACTTGTGGTGATTAAGAAATTTGGAGAATGGTTAAAAGAAAAGTTTAAAGGATGGTTTACTAATAGTAATTATAAAAGTCTTCCTCTGAGCCTAACTAGTAGGTGTTTCTGCAGATGAAAAAACTCTACCAGTGTTTTAATATGTGATAGTTTCAGATTATTATGACAATAACCTGTGGTGTGTGTGAGTGGCCCTCCTGACCACTGGCTCGTGAGTGGACCTGTTGCCTCGAGTGGTTGAAATATTGTTCATTAGTGGACGGTTTATGGAGATAGTACCTTAGTTGTATTACCACTCAAACTCTTACTTCAGAGCTATTGGTAGTAGCTTCGTGTGAGTAATTAGCATTATTCCTTCAGGTAAAGCGAGAGGAAGTTGATCGTCGGGTGAAGGAACAGCCAGAGTTATATTCAAGCAAGTTCTCAGAGGAAGCTAAATTGATATGTCAACAAGTAAGTTGTGTATTTTATTGAGAAGTGTTTGTATCACTTTGAGATAAGGAAGATATTTTGTTTCTTACCTTTGACATAAGCCAATGGGGATGTGAATGTTTATGTATTGGCAAGTTCATGATAGCTTGTGGTGAATGATGTCTAGGGAACCATGTGGAAGTGGGCTCCTATGTGTGTGTGTCTGCTTGTACATTATTTTGCATTCAATAATCTTTGTACAGTATTGCTGTATCTTTATTTCCAACATGAGTATCAATTCTTTACCAGAAAATGTAGTTCAAGGTGATTATTGTGGTGATCACTATACAGTAATCTCTTGTATATGAGTACATATCCAAAATCAAATTATTCAAATTATATCAAATCTAATGCTTCTAAATTGCTAATAATTGCTAATAAATTACTAATAATCATGACAAGCTTTTTGTTATCTGATTATGGCAACATAATCCTGAGTACTTAAGCTTCAATTTTTTAGTTCATGAGTTTAACCACGTTTACTGGTGTTTTTCTTTTTTTTCTCTTTCGCTCTTACGAAGTTATGGTCTGCATAGCCATATATATATATATATATAATATATATATATATATATATATATATATATATATATATATATATATATATATATATATATATATATATATATATATATATGTATATATATATATATATATATATATATATATATATATATATATATATATATATATAATATATATATATATATATATATAATATATATATATATATATATATATATATATATATATATAATATATATATATATATATATATATATATATATATATATATATATATATATATATATATATATATATATATATATATATATATATATATATATATATAATTTTTTTTTTTATGTATGAAATGATACATTTCCAGAAAGTTTTGTGTACCTTAAAATTATCTCATTATTTCTTACTGCTTTTGGGAAATTAATCTATAACTTTTCTAAATGTAGTTTTTCAATGTGGTGAATGAAATTACATTTACATTAATATATACACCAATCCTGTACCACAGTTGTTAAAGAAGAATGCGCGAGAACGATTGGGGTGCTCAAGAGGTCGACATGGCGCTGTTGAAGTGAAAACTCATGATTTCTATAAGACAGTCAACTGGAAAAGATTAGAGGCAGGGATGTGTGAACCTCCATTTGTCCCAGATGTAAGTTAAGAAGTGTGATTTTAATTTTGGAAGTGTTATTTTGTTATCCTAATCTGACCTTTATATCTTGCCAGTACAGTATTATGCTTTTCTTCCTTGTGTCTTGACAACCTCAATATTTCTCCTTCTATTGTTTGGTTCACCTGTCTCTTAGTTTTCTAAAACTTCCTGCTCTTGACTCCCTTAAACGACGGTGATTGTATAGAGATGATGAGTGCCTTTCATTCCGCAGTGAAGGATTTTTCAGCACCATAATTTTTTAAGTTGAGGCTTGGTTTCTGCTCGAGTGGATTAATGTCACCCGTTGGGAATTTTCTTTTCCTGCATTGATCCCTCCCCATGACCCTCCCTGCAACAGTAGCATTTTTATCATCACAGAGAAAGTATCTGGCATTCCCAGTGACGTGTTGCGTGGAAAGACTCTTTGACACAGTAGTGTTGCCGTGACACCCAGAAAAATAAGTAAAATATTATGGAAATCAGAGAGTGAGGGTGAAATTGAAAGAACTGGTAGATTCCCGAGTGACTTTTGAAACGATAGCTCGTGTGTGAGCTAGACCTATAGTGACACTGACAAATTAGTCATCTGTGTAGGAGAAGTGTTTAGAGACCAGAAGGAAGGTGAGGTAGAAGCACTTCTCCATGTGTTGCACATGTACTGGGTAGGAGTACATCACCAACACGTGCTCAAGGTGTTCGTGATGCAGGAGACAGGAATAGTTGTGATGATGTGGACCAAAAATCATTTTGGAATGAACTTATGTTTGTTTCACCCTTGCTGTGTTGATGCCCAATTCTCATAAACATGTACTTTATGATTACTGAAAAAACTACAACCATCAGAGGACACCTGTGTTTGGGAATTACAGGGACAGGTACTGACTACTTTGTTGTGACTCAAATCCACCCCTATGATGTCTCAAATCTCCATTATTACCAAATAAAAATAACGTCGCAGGAGGAAGAGAGAGGATGAGCTTGTTCTTTTATTTTTAGTTCTAATTACATTATATAATATTGTATTTTTTCTATATATTACAGTATTTATGATGAATCATACACTAGACATATGAGGTTAATCATATCAGATGATGATAATGAATCAATATTAAAACATGTCCAGAGCTAGAGCACTCTGCAATGCCTCAGCCCCCCCCCCTCCCAATTTTGCCACTGTATTCAGTGAGCAAATCGTGCCCCATTTCAAAGAACATTTTATAATTTTAACCATTTCTTAAAGCTTTCATCTTTTGTTGCCAGATTAAATAGTCTATGTAAAAAGTGCTCCATCATTTAGGGGTAAATACTCAAAAGTTGTGTCAATCTGTCTTTTGAGTTGTCCACGCCATCTTATTCAGTTCATTTGTAAATGTTATTGCTATATTTTTGTGGCTCCTACTCGGAATTGTGTTAGATATTAGAACATACACTCTCTCTACTGTACTTGGTAAAGGAGATAGTTGTGCATTTCTTTGTTTTAAGCAGTCATATTTATCTTCTGGTCTATGTTACTTTATTCATTTCACACTAGTAAGCCCTTTCATGCAGTGGAGCAGAGTGGTCAGAATCAAGAGACTTATAGACCCTCAACTTGCTGTAATTCATTCTTTTTAATTGTCCTACCATCTGTAATCTGCCTTGATATGTCTAGATACTCTTTGCTGTGATACAAGACGGCTTGAAGTAAGAGAGAGCCACTCTACCCCTGTTCACTATTGATATAAATCAGTGTTTGTATTATTCATGGATCTTAAATACTTTCAGCCCCATGCAGTATATGCAAAGGATGTGTTGGACATAGAACAGTTTAGCACAGTGAAGGGTGTCAACCTAGATGCTACAGATGACTCTTTCTACTACAAATTCAACACTGGGTCTGTCTCAATCCCTTGGCAACAGGAGGTAATTTTTATTATAAGGTTACAAAGCTATTAATTTTTTTCCCTAATACAGTACTGTAGTAAGAAAGCAAGTGAAAAGATTAAAAAATTTAGCAAATTTCATTAATTTATTGAATTCAGCATGAGATCTACTGTAATTTGATTGCACAGTGTTTCAGAAAACTTTTGATTGCCATGTTTTCAGCAGACACAAGCAACTTGTGAGCACTTGAGTTGTGCAGTGAGAGAAAAAGGTAATTCTCTCTCTCTCTCTCTCTCTCTCTCTCTCTGTGTGTGTGTGCACGCACATTATCATATTTTGTGTTGTCTTAGTGTATTTCTAGCCAATCATCACAATTGTTATGTTTCCGGTATAAAATAGTACTGTACACTTCTTGTCATGTGACACGTGAAAAACACTGTTTGTATTTTTTGCTCTGTTTATACAGATATTAGTGAAGTGTCTGCCCTTCGACATTCATAATAGAAGAGAATAGTGAACCAGGACCCTATAGAGCAGGACTCCACAACCTTCCTTTTTCCATGGGGCCGCGAATAGCTATACAGTATTTGTATATATGCTGCTGGCTGAACGATGTCTTAAATTCTGACTGTGTGGCCATTTATAATTACATGTGTATTTTGGGTGAACAATAAAAAGTAGGGGTAAGAGGATGAAGGAAATACAAGTAGTACATGATAAGATAGCTTTAATCATTCTCTCAATGTTTGGATCAATGTACTGCTGTGAAGAGACATAGTGTGCTTACCTTTGTGGATAACAAGTACAGTACACTAATGTACTGTACCTACTGTACCATTCAAAGTTCACCAACACTCCCACCACACAACTTGTAAAGGCTGCTGTTACTAAATTTGAACCAAATTTTGCTGAAATTGTACATCATGTCCAGGCACAAGCCTCACATTAGACTTAATATGAGGCGTCTAGCGTAGGAGGGACGAACTCGCCAAATCATAGTTTTGAATAAACGCATAAAAAAGTTTTAGAACTGTAAAATCACAGCGCCTTACGAAAACAACGGGGAGTAGAGACGAACTCACCACTTCCTGTCATCACAGTTGGAAAGATAAAGCCTGGAAAATTCCGAAACCATAGAAAACAGATTTTTTGGGGACTGGCAAGTTCGTCCCTCCTAGGCTAGACGCCTCATATTGTTTCTTGTATTTGTATTTGAAATCTGAACCTTTATTTTGTAATTAAAAAAGCCAGCTTTATGCTATCTTTATGCTTTATGCTTATTTTTATTTCTAAAAATATCACATTAGGCTGTTTTGTTTTCAAACTGTAAAGTATATCACAACATTTTGAAAAGTAATTTCCTTGCATTTCTGTATTATCAGAATTATTCTTAATGCAAAATATAGTCCTGCATTTCTGATTATTCAGTCATTTCTGTGGAATACCGGTACAGTGGTCCCTCAGTTAACGAACACAATTCGTTCCACAGAGTTGTTCGTTAAACGAAAATTTCGTTAATCGAATCCATTGTTTCAATGGGATATTGGGTAATTGGTTCTAGCTCACAGAAAAGTACATACAAAGTAAAAAAAAGAAAAATGCAGTTAAGTACACTTACTTTGAGGTGTGTATGTAGAAGGTTCCTGGTTGATGATGATGGGAATTAGAAGTGGGGGTGGAGGAGAAGGGAGAAGAGAAGGAAGTGGGGATGGAGGAGAAATCACCTTTCAGGGGACCCATGCTTGATGCAGTAATTTCACCAATAAAATTTTAAGTTCAGTAGGTGTAATTGAAGATTATTTTATTTAAATCAACACTGCACTGCACTATGTATTATCAATATATCAACTAAATTTCTGAATGACCAATAATTTTAATGTAAAAATGCTAAAATATTCAAAGCACCAAAAAAATCAATGTTCACTCCACTGTCAACAAAACCAAACTGATGCCTGGTGGCTGAGTCAAGCAGCTGATGGGCGCACAAAAAACTAGTTCCCTGTACTGCATATATTATCATTATGTTAACTAAATTTTAAAATGACTAATAATTTTAATATGAAAAATGCAAAAATATTAAAGAGCACAACTTCCTTGCTATTTACTCCACTGGAAACGAATGTAAACATAGAACAGATTACTGAATTGGCAGACTAACCCATCAGCTGATCAGCTGATGCTCACAACAAAACGTGTTTTTCATTAGGATTTCGTTAATCAAAGTTTCGTTTGTTAACCGAATTGAAGAACCTATGGGAGGTAATTCGTAAACCGAAATTTTGATAATCGAACCGTTCGTTAACTGAAGGACTGCTGTATATTGTTGGCTTATGTTGCCTGAGTACAGCTTCGGCAATTGCTGATTACTTCCCAGTTAAGTGGCTGGCTAGTACACACTACTGTGGACCCCTGCTCTAGAGTGTGAAAACAACAATGTAGACCTAGTGAATAGTGTCAAAATGTTGCAAACATTGGTTTGGTGAATAGAAGAGTTTTTACATAAATTCATTGAACAATGGTACAGTTCTTGACAACTATTATTTTTCTTGCTGTACACAATAACTGGCTTGTAATATTATGTTAAAAGTTAACTTGTACTACTTTATGGTTAATGAGATAGTTTATATTGAAAAACTATTATCTCATAAATTTTGGTGTTTTGCTGTTGCATTAAAATTTTTCTACCATAAAATGGATGTAAATCACTGTAAAAAAAAAATGGTGTTATTATGTTGCCACATTTGAAAGTTGTGGTATTTTCTATGTTGCAAAACTTTGAACATATTTTTCTCAGTTTTTAAAACATTCTCCTGCTGCATGACTCACTTATATTACAATGAAACTATGAATAACTTAGTAGAAATTGAAAAGTTAGAAAAAGTTATATAATGGACAAGATTTCCTTCCATGAAAAGAATAGTGTAGCAATGAGAAAGTGATGTACAGTACTGTAGCTCCAGTGGTGCTGTAAAGGTGAACATAACCAAAGGACATAGCTAAGTGAGGAAGTCTTATGCAGTAGTGGAAAACAGTATTATGTCACATTATCTGTTGGACATATCCATTCAGTAAATTGCTGTTCATAAATTTTATTGTTAATAATGAGTTAGACCTTGCTCTGACTTGTTCCTTAAAACTTGCTTCCACAACCAATAGCATTTCAATGAATTTAGGATATATCCATTCAGTCTTGTAACTTATGAATGCTTATCCTTTGCAGATGATAGAAACCAAGTGTTTTGAGGAGCTTAATCAATTTGGACCCAACAATACACCTACTAATGACCTCAGACTAGATCTGCCCCCACCAGAGGACAGCAAGAGCTGCTTCCCCTTCCGACGACGGGTATGGTGCAGGTCTGGTGTTTCATCTTGAACGTGACCGGTGGCTTTCCTCACCTCACTTAGTTTTAGTTAAGTGAATGCTGTTGTATGTGCAAACAGTGCAAATATGTAGTTACTGCTTCACTTATAGGATGGGTAGACTAATATGCAGACTCCTTTAGGCAGTGTTTTGCTACAGGTATCTAGTCTTGGGCACTTGGGAAGGTGGATAGGTGTGGTTAGTAAAAATACCTGCCATTGTCTGTATCATAATAGTCTGAATATATTAGAAGAGCACAAGGAAATCCTACAATTCATGCCAAGTTCCCATGAAATGATACCTTGGGAATGTGGTAAAGATTACAATAGGCATTATTTAAAGAGCAGAAGCAAGAGATGGAGGAGTAGAATATAATTTGTTTTTGAATTTCCAGTAAAGGTTCGTCTGATTGTTGTGGATATGGAAAGAAGGTATCAGATGTCCATGCTGTTTGGGGGAACTTTTTGCTGCATCCTTTCTTTCCCTTCTTGGCATTTAAGTTATTTCTTACACATGCTACTTATGTATCATTTGGCCTGGGATGATGTCTACAAGCACCAATGGCACCTACTACTGCATATATGTACAGCTGAACAAAAAGTATTGAGATTCCTACGTACAGTTAGATTTATAGTAAACGTGGGTGCACCAAAGGTCGTGTATTCATCTTATTGGTAGTTCATATTATTTAAAGTGTTTAAATCTCATTCATTATTTCCTAGAAATAATGGTAGATGTAAAGGATTTATAGTAATAATTTTTCTTTGACAAATTAGGACAGCAGAGTTGAAATATGATGATATTCAAGGAATTACCTGTAATGCATTTAATGTCCAGCTCATCAACAAGACTTCTATCTTGAGAAGAGCAACATAAACTAGACTATGAGTTTCTTCTTATTAGATATTGTGTATAGTGTGTATGGGCTACAACTGAGGGCTAAACCAATAACATGAATGTTCATAACTGAGCCATATGAGGGTTGTGAATTACACAGCTAATGAGATGACAAAATCTCTCCTTCAGCCAGAAGTGGCAACTGACACCTCAAAGATATCTCTTTAAGGTCCATTGTTGTAATAGGAAAGTATTGAACAAATTAATCAGTTAGCTCCAGCCATCATTGTCATGGGACCTTAGTTATCAGTTCATAGACTTAGGGTGATAATTTGCGGGTTGCCTGATTTAGGATTGGTTTTAAGATGACATTACAGGACCAATTCTTCATGTTTTTAAGGAGAAATAAATTCAATAGGTAAGACAAATTGTCCTTGCCCTTGATAATATTATTTTGGTTTCTGTGGACTATCAAACAAATAGATGACATCTTTCTTATAATTCTGTAAAGTGGGAACATAATTGAAAGACAAGAATAGGATACAAATTTTCTTCATGACATTCGTAAGAGTATAATTAGCAATGAATTACCCTGTACTTTCTAGATATCAAGTGGTACTATTCATGTAATCACTACCTCATTATTAACCATTCGGTCTTACTTAGAAGCAGGTAATAATATTAAATGTTAGTATACTGTACAAGTATTAATAAGCATTCAAAGACAAAAACTGAAAATATTGACTGACATAAGACAACATTCTGATGTTCCTTAAGATTGGAATCTTTGGTTCTCGTTTTTTTTTGTATACGTTTTACCTCTTTATTATTCTTAAGCTTCTGTATAAGAACTTTGTTAAGTAAGGTAGAGCACATACCAGCACAAAGTTTGAGTCATCATATCCCAAATAATAAACCTTGATCCAATGTTTTAAAATGTAAACCAATGTGAAGGTTGTTATACTTCTTTGTTTGACTGTACATCCTTACCTTAACCCTCATCTTTGACCTAAAATGAGTTCACTCCGCTTTGACCACAATATAATATTGCAATAACCTCTTTTCTGCCAACATCATGCTACTTGGTTGAGCAACTTAACATACAGTTTTCTTAGTTCCTGTGACATGGGTGCATCATTACTTAATTAATTTTCAATACAAGTTACAGCAGTCATAATTCATATATGACATTTCATGTAGATCCACAATGGAAACGTGGACAGGATAAATCGCGATAAAATCACTCAGGAAAAGGGAAACAATGAAGCACCTTAGCTTTCGTCTTTATTTAAGACATCTTCAGAGGCAACTGAAGATGTCTTAAATAAAGACGAAAGCTAAGGTGCTTCATTGTTTCCCTTTTCCTGTGTGGTTTTATCGAGATATATGACGTGTGTGTATTATCATTTAAATAAATTTTCTATTATCTGGGGGTATAATTATGTGATTAAACAATATACAGTATCTGACATGTGTGCATCACCACTTAGACTAATTTTTTATACCTGGGGTATATGAGGTTAAGTAACATAGCATACAATTTTCTAAGTTGAAGTTTGAAATGCGGTTACCGCTATCTTATTTTACAGTATAAACACCATTGACGAGAAAGCTGCCTCGCAGACATAGGTACCCGAACCTTGATAGCTTGATTTTTAACCACTAAATGTCTTTGATAGAGTAATCCATAACTTTGCGATGTCATCATAGACGTCAAAATTCACCCTTGCCTCATTGGCAGCTTGTAATTTTGACATTTCGAGTATAAAAGAGCCACACTATTTTACATCTGTCTTGAATGGAAATTGAACAAAATCGAAAGACTCAGTAAGCAATTCAGGGAATCAATCATTAAAATTTTCTGTCTGCATCTGTGAGAAGTAGAGAGTGAAATGAGTTGAGAACATTTCAAAGGCAGAAGTGTGGAACTTCTGTTACAAAACGTTTCTTCAGGGCAAGCCTGACCTGACCTGACCTGACCTGACCTGACACAAGGAGAGTAACTGCATTAATCAATTGACCATAATTTATGGCCCCGACTTAATGAGGCAGCACCTGTCGGTCTCATCCTTCAGTCGTTGGCACCTGGACAAAAAAATAAAATAAAATATCACATGTGACCTCTGTCAGACCCAATGGGAGTTCAGTGACCCTAAGCCAGGGGTAGAAATTCACCATTTTTTCATAGTTGCCAGCAGGACTAGTGGATTTGAAAATTTACTAGTCTTTATCAATTTTACTAGCCCTTAAACAATTTGTCAAGAAACATTAAACATACCGGGTTTATACAAAGTTCTATTTACTGTGTGACATTTATTTAGTTGTAGAAATCATAAACCAACACTAGAATAACTAAATTAATTGCATGGAACACAGATTATTCATTGCATTTGAACAAGCATTTCCTATACATGCTCCCCATGCAACTCATTGTTGTCGTCCAGATCTTCCACTGTGCTGCAGCCACCAGTGTGAGTATAGCCATCCACACGTCAGGCCTCAGTAGTTAGGAATCTGGCAATGGCTTAGTCCGGATTGAAGTTGCCAACACTCTCTGATTGCGACTGAACCACCATGAGATCCGTCAGGTGGTCATCAGTGAGACGACTGCGCCAGTCTGTCTTAATGAGTTTGACCTGGCTAAAACCACGTTCAGCATCAGCCGAACTAACTGGAATGGAAAGCAGTATTAGGTCAACCAGATGGAGAAATGAGGCACACCTTTCTCTGTATGATTGGTTGATTTGTTGCCAAGACAGTCTTGAAACAATTGATGTCTTACTCTTGTAAATGTAACTTTTGAGCACAGTCCATTCATCCTCTATCAGAGTAGGATTCACCTCTGCCTCCATCAGTGTTTTCTCAAGAGCGTGGGCCAACGCTTGCGCAGCACTATCCCCGAAATCTTCATTCCCACTGTACTCTGCAGGCCACAATTTGAAATTCAGAATCCATGCGTTCTGGAGAATTGTACTGGCCATGTCAATAAATCTTTTGTTTAGACTTGAAATCAGTGATGTCAGCATATCACGCCTTGCAGTCTTGAAGGTGTTGCTTCTACCACTCAGCTTCTCTCCTTGGAACATGGTTATGTCACCTTCCATAATCCTTCTCAGGCTAGGTCCTGGCCAAGTCAAATTTTTGTTAAGTACATCAACTGCAGTCTGAATTTGATTCACAATAGCAGAAATATTGGTTTGACCTGCTGGAACAGCTCTTGAGAGGCCCCCAAGGCACTGCACCACATCCAGTAGGAGGTGAAGGTACTGGACTATGTCAGCACTGGTTAGAAGGAGCAGGTAGTTCTTAGCTTTTCTGGATGAAGCCTTGTGGCATGCAGGATCATCAGGGTTCTGTATCTGTTGCATGTGGAGTACAATAGCCCTGTAACTCTTCAGTGAATGCTCCAATGCTTGCAGCATATGCGGGAGCCACCTTGTACCACTCACACGTGTTGGAACCAGAAATGGTACCTGACATATGTCATGAGCACGCTTCAACATGCTCCTGTTGAGAGAACTCTTTTCATAGAACAGGTATATGCCTAGCAGCAGTAAGTCAACCTTTTTGGCTAGTGGAACATCCTTTACTGCATCCCTGAAAGCGAGTTCAATTTTATGTGCAGTGCAATGGATGCCTTCCAACTCCGGTTTCTCTAGATCTCTTCTCAATCGAGCTACTAAACCATTTCTGCACCCAGTCAACTCATAAAGCTGGCCCCATCTGTACCAATGCCAACTAGCTTCTGCTTCCAAGTTTCACCAAAGCATGAATTCATCATAGAGCAAACACATTTCTTGATAGATGCAGCATCACCTCTCTCAATATTTTTTACAGCAACAAAGTTTACCTAGCATTAATAGTGTATTCTCTATATGAAGCTAATATACACATTGAGTGTGTCTTACCACTGTCATCGGCCCACTCGCCCATCAGGCGATCCCAGACCAGCAAAATAGTAAAATCTTGTCACCCTTATGATATTTTGGTCGCCTCGGGTGACCGGGCGTATGTGAATTTCTACCCCTGTTTAAAGTTCTATGCGACCCCTTATGATGTATCTTGCGACCCTGTGATTGGGAGCCACTAAGACTCCTTGCTGAAATAAAAAACAACTGCATCAGTCAAACATTTACTGCTATCTCAAGGAACTTCCCATACTCTCTGCCCTATCCTCATTTGCTTCCCAGCACTAGTCAGGTGCAGAGGTGTGCTCCATTTATTTCTGTTGGTTCCTTGTTACTTCAACAGGGCTGTTTTAGTATGTTTACAGAACCTCTAGCCTCTGGCACCCTCAGTGCTGGGGCCCTTGCTATTTCGTTAGCCCTATATGCTTCCATTCTTATTAGTGTCTTCTCTTTTGCTTGATTTTAGTTATTGGCAGTTCTGAGCCCAGTTAAAGACTGAGAGTTTTAGGTTAGTTAGCTGGTAGCAAATGGTTTGTGTAGTGCGTTTCTCCCAGCTGAGAAGAGATGCCCCGCCTCCTCAAGAGTTACAGCTGATTTACTTTTGCAAATCCGTCTGATTTCGTCCTGAAGTAATGGTGTATTTCTAAATGAGTTTATTCATAATCGTTGAGATGGCCGCTTCTGACGAGAAAGATATTTAGCTAAATTATATTAAGATACTTACATTCATTATTTCAAACATGAGCACGTAAGAAGTTTATCAGAAATCTTATATACATTAATTACCTGTTAACCATGCTTTGAGAGGACACATTTAATATATACTTATTTTTCCCCCAATCAGGCATACTAAGACAAATTATGTATCAGTAGTACTACATTATGCAAAAACTAACATTTTAAAAGATCAGAATCACATTGAAATATTACATGGCCATCAGCAGAGGCGGGAAATATGACTGCGAACAACTTCATATTTCCCTCCTCTGCTGACAGCTCAACGGCCAAGCTTCCCAGTCTGTCACACTCGTCCACCAACTTTCAGGGGCCGTGTAATATTTCAATGTGATTCTGATCTTTTAAAACGTTAAATTTTGCATACTGTAGTATTACTGGTGAGTAATTTGTCTTAGCATGCCTTATTGTGGGTAAAAATAAGTACTATATATTAAATGCGTCCTCTGAAAGCGTAATTTACTACCAGAATTTAACAGTTAATTCATGTTTAAGATTTCTGGTAAACTTCCTACATGCTCATGTTTGAAATACAGTAAGTCCTCATTTAACGTTGCTCCCAATAACGTTGTTTCGTTATAACGTCGCCATTCTTTAGATACCCATGATTCGGATAACGTCCCGCTGATTCAGTATAACGTTGTCAGGGACTACTTTGTACGGCACATCACCCTCTCTCATCTTGCCGCACCACACTCTCACTCGCGGAGCGTCACAGTATGCCCAGCTTTGTTAGGCTTCCACAGCATTCTTGCGTGTTGAAGTGTTTTTGCTCTTAATACTGTACTCTAACCATTCGAAATGGCTTCCGAGCTCCCATCAAGTGCTACTGATGCTAGTGTTGTGAAGAAGCAACGTAAGACCATTAGCCTTGCTACGATAATGGAGGTTTTAAGCCGTTTTAAGAAAGGTGAACGTGCAATGGACATTGCTGCTGCACTCCACTACCCACCACACACTCGCTCCACCACCTCCACCCATCAGTGAGTACAATACAAAACTTATTTAGTTTATTTGTATATATACTATTTTCTATAAAAATGCCATTGAATTTCTGCATATGTAATGTATTGGGACAAAGGGAGGCTGGGGAACGTAACTCCCTTATTTTATCTGTTTCTTCTGGGAAAAATTTATTCAGTTAACGTCGTGGTTTTCAGGAACGGAACCACGACGTTAAGCGAGGACATACTGTAATGAATGTATGTATCTTTATATAATTTAACTAAATATCTTTCTTGTCAGAAACGGTCATCCCAACGATTATGAATAAACTCATTTAGAAATACATCATTACTTCAGGACGAAATCGGACAGATTTGCAAAAGCCAATCGGCTGTAACTCTTGAGTAGGGGGCGGGGCAACTCTTCGCAGCTGGAAAAAAATGCACTATAGTGCAGTAGTGCTGGGGCCAAGATTCTCCAGTTGCCTTGTTTTGGCGATGGCAGGGAAAGGGATCGTTCCGTTCTTGGAGTTGGCTTCCCAGTTTTCATTACTTTTATGGCATGGAGATACAGTGAACCCTCACTTTACGCGGTCATTTGAACCCACGGCGGCCCGCGTAAAGTGAGAAACGCGTAAAGCTAGGGTTGACTGTATCTGGCTTTGCACATTGAGGATTCTTCCATTGGGGCAATGGGTGTTCATGCTGGGAGCTATAAGAGTGACTTGCCATGATATTTAAGTACTACAGTCATTACTATTCTGCGTAATGTCTGATTCAGGTAGATGTTCTTTCTGGTTTAATTATTATTATATTACAAGAAATGCCCATTTATGTGTGAGTTTTGCCGGGAGGTCAAGTAGGCTTGTCTATCCCACTCATATTTCCAATCCATTCTTATTTCTTGTTTATGTGTAGTGTTCCTCTGCTATCACAGATCATCTCCATGCGTAATGCAGCACATGTACACACGTGGAGCCCAAGCCACTAAAATTGGTGTTTTGAAGGCTTGAATAGCTAGTTTTTAGTGGTTAGGCAGAGCCATTGTAACAGCATCAGTTCATCCATGAGTGTTATGCTGAGGATGGGTCAGGGAGTATGGAAAGCTCCTTGAGGTAGCAGTAAATGGATGAAAGAGGAGGGATGACTGATGCAGTTGCTGCTTTATTTTTATTATTTCTTTATTCCATCAAGGAATCTTAGTGTAGCCTGGTCTTGCTTTGACAAGTCTAGATGTTATATGGGTCCAGTTCTTCTCCTTTCGAGGCACTCCAGGAAACCAAGCATGTGTACACTAGCTCCTCCCAATGTCCATAAATAGGCTTTTCAAGTCTTCAAACTCTTATTTTCCATGGGATGTACTGTATATGTTAGCATTCTTCATGACTTCATTTCTGTAAAATCTTATTTATAATAATCTAGAATAATATCATTTTGCTCCAGGGTATTTATCAAGAGATTGTGCACACTCTTAACCTTCAAATTTAAGCTCTTTTTAGGGTTGCTGTTGCTAGGTTTCTTCAAAATTGTCCTAATATTGTTTCTTCTATTTTTCTTGATTTGGGATGACACTAACACATCTACCATAAGGTAGATGTTCAATTTGAGGTCAGTGATAGTATAGGTACAGTACACACAAAAATAAAGTGTACTTATTAAGCTCTGCTTGAACTATGGTAACTTCCTCAGGCACCAAGGCACCTATTGTGAGGGTCTCATGTATGTAAACCTTAAACAAAAAATGAAATTGGAGTAACCTCATTTCAACAGGACCTCATATACACTACTTCCCTTGTTACTGCTTTATTTGGGATGGTTTCCTTAAAGATAGAATTTATTTTGTGTATCAATTTAATGTCATATTTTGAAAAACTTATATTTCTTGTTAGGTAAATCTGGTCTGTCTTAAAAATTGTATTTTAGTGAGGTTGGTGAGAATCGATACAGAAGACAAAAATATAGGGTAGAGTATTAAATTTGATTGGGGTAGGGTGCTGCAGTAGTGAGTGATGAATGTATTCAGCAGAGGTCCTTAGTGAACAAATGAAACCATAAGGCAGGAAAAAGTGCAGACAGGATTAGAAAGATAGTGAAATAGGTATCCATCCACAGAATTGATTTGATGCTTTGTGAATGTGATAAAGTAAAAAGTAATAAAGTCAGTTTGAGGAAATCATTATTTGATTTTTTACAAAATAAGGAACTACTGTACGTATTTATAAAGTTGTACTACTCATAGTTATTATTTCTTACTTTTCAGCGTCGGAGGTAGCTAGGTGAGGGCTGGAAAAGCAAGAATCATCATCATCAAGAGCACAGTCATAATCTCAAACTTCTGCTGTTCACTGTTGAACATGGCAAGTTCAGAATCAAGCATTGACAAGTTCATCGTCCATGTTCCCTCTGAGCATCTGAAGCTCGCATTAATTCATTTAGTGTGGAGTTCATCTTCATTTATGAAAATCACCTTCCATAAGTCAGCCATAGAGAAGAAGCATGAATGTTGCCCTGTTTTTGTCCCTTTTGTGCCAAGTGTTTTAAGAAATGCAGATTGTATCCATAAACTGCATGTTAAAAGAGTCCTGTTGCATGGAAGTGCAGTAAGTTAGAAATTTTACATTGGGACTGTTTTTCATTCTGGACTGTGACCATCATATGTTTGGAAGTTGAAATGGTTTGCTCACACAAGTCTTGAACATATGATATAACACACAAACAGGAATAAGCACACAATGCAATTATGTTCGCACATTCTGTACGTATGTGCACACACAATGTACATGTGCATTATAAACCTTGTGAGTAGATGTACATTTGCTCACATGTAGACAAATGTGTACACTTTATTTGCACACATGAACAGATATATATAGAGATAATCATGGACACATTTCCTGACAGATATTTGGATATTCATGGTAAGAAATTATAGAAAAATGTGACCTTGCACTTCACAAATACAGTACACAAACATAAATACACTATTGACTTTAGACATGAATAGATACATACAGTCAGATCTGCTACAACGCAATAGTTGTGTTCTTGTAAATCCTCGTGTTGTAGAAATTTGCGCAATGTAAATAACGGCTTATGGAGAAAATAGGGTTAGGTGCAGACGACTCGAAATCGAAAAAAAATTAGTAATTAGCCTAACACAAAGGATCCTTTTTTGCGAATTTAGCTATTCCCGTTGCACGCACAATATCACATGTTCTTTCCTTACGTTCAAAATGCTTGATAACATCAAGCTTCTCTTCAACTGTTATAGCCTTTCTTTTACGATCACCACCAGGAATGCGATCACCAGAACGCTTCTTGGAGATATTTTTCTTTTCCATATTCACGGTTAATACCACAAAATTGGAGAAATAGTAAGCAAAAATCACTGAGGATTCTTCAAAACAACCCACGTGTTTCAACTGATCGTGTGATGGAAACAGAGAGCGCGGGTGTAAAACGCTATTAGTCCGCACTGCGAAACATTATTTTAATTTATATTTTTCATACAGTATTTATGGGAACAGCTACATTTGCAAAAAAAAGGATGAAATTTATCGAGTCCCTATCAAAAAACACTTCACAAACATAACACATGAATCAATTGAACATGTGATGTCGAACGTGAACTGTAAACACTGCATAACCCAGCACCAAGCGACAGTACACTTAAAACGTTCAAGTGGAATCGCGTTACAGCCAACACGCATTCGCGTTTTACAAACATCCTTCTTCTATTCATCAATCGCATTATAGCCAATTGGTGTTGACAAAACACACGTTGTAGCAGAAATGACTGTACCTAAAAATATACCTTTACATACTTTCTCTCATACATTACTTGAAACAGGTGAGAGTGGAAAATATAGTATGTACAGTACAACCTTTAGAATCTGGAACCTAGAAGTCTAGGACCATCAATTATCTAGAAGATTTACCTAAGATTCGTGCTATTTCGGACATCCAGGAATTTTAGAGAGAGTACGAGTACACAGACTCACTAGTTGTTTGTTGAACAAATATATGCTGGTAGTTAGACTGTTCGAAAGTTCATGATGGATTTTGCTAAATTATTGAAGGACGAAGCACTTAGCTTTGAGAAATTGGCATATAGCAATCAAGAGTTTAAGGAGTCTGTTTTAACTTGTGAAAATACTGTACTACTGTTATGCATAAATATAAAGTACTTGTGATAAGGAAGAGTGCAAAGCCGTGTGCTCTGAGAGGCATGAAAATTATGCCCGTGCTATAAAAAAGCTAGTAAACGGGCATATATCACTGTAAAAATAACCACTTGACCGGTTTACCCATAATTTTGTACCTGAGGCTCTTGTGCACTGCTGTAAGCTGGTGCTGCCAGAGGACTGTGTTATACTGAACTGTCCTTTTAGATAACTGCTCAACTCACCCCTTTGTGAAGCAGCTGGATGTGAGAACTGAACTGTATCATTATTACTTTTATTTTTAATATTTTTTATTTTGTGTGTGTGTGCGTGTGTGAATGCAATATTTGTTCCTCAGAAATCGAGAAAAGGCTCACTCCAGAATATTCCAAATTCTTGAGGTTGTACTGTAGTGGGTTGTTAGGTGGGAGTGTGATCATAGGGTATCTATCTGCCTGTCTGTAGTATCAAAGATCTACATGAAGGTGCCTCTCACATTCACCTACCATCATTTACTCTTCTGAATGTTAAATCTTAACTGTATGGTTTTTAGTTCTTTGAGATGGGTTCTGAAGGAAGCTCAGTTTTATATCAGTAGAGTTAGTGTTAATTGTAAGATTGAAAAGTTTTACCTGAAAACTATTTGCTGAAATTTTCTAGGATTTTTGGGATGAAATCAATAGATATATGAAGTGTGCAAGTGAAAGGATCAATAGTTAAAACTCTTAGGGGATATCAGGCAATTAAGTTTTCATTATTTTGGATGGTCTTTAAGAACTAGAGCCACTGCCTTTTTAATCAGTTTTCTCTTCCTTGTATGAATTAAAACATATTTATATATTTATATACAGTATACATGAGGTGCTGTGACAGTGCTTGCCTTCTGTCCCTAAGAATCACTGGTTTGTACCTGGGCCATCCAGCTATGATTGAGGAACTAACTTTACAGTTGGGAAATGAAGGTAATGGAGTGCAGTGCTGGCAATACAGCCTCTTTGTGTCGTGAAGACTTCGTATTTTGTGCGCTATATTCGTGCTGCCCCTAATGGACCTTAAGACCAGCAGAACCCTTTATTGCTTTCAGTAAATATACAAACTTACATACACAGTACAGTACAGTGCAGTACAGTACATGCATTCACATGCACACTTTTACTCATACTGTACTCATCAATTTGTATGCACACATGTATTATACAGTACTGTACATGATTTTGACACACACACACACACACACACAAGGAACATAAAAAAAAATCTTCCTTCAGATGAATACCAGTTGCACTGTATTAAAAAGGAAACCTGGGAATGTTTTCCAAAGAAAATATTGGTATGGTGATAGTGCGTTGCTCACATTCTGCCAGTAATATCACATGTTTAAGTACTCTATCTTGAATCTAGGCTTTTGTCTGGAAGAAAGACAAGTTTTTGGACTGGACTGTAGTTTTGAGGTTTTGAGATTAAGCTGACATTGGACAGCCCGTGCACCATCCTCAAAGCAACAGATTTTGAATTTTATAAAAGTGAAAGTCAAAGGTCAGTATTTCCTACCATAATCATCCTTTGTGTGGCACATGAGACTGCCATACAGTCCTTAAGGAATGATTAATAACATGATCATCCCAGAACTTTTTTATCATCTTATGGAAGATTAAGGACATAATCATTTAGTATGATATTTCTCCTTTATTATTTTTCAGTCATCCTGAGGGATGATTGAGGATGTAATCATCCCAAAAGTACATTTCTCAGTCATTGTCATTGTTTAAATGCTTTAATTATGATATTTAAAGGTTGCATGAGATGAACATTGGTGGGCCCATACAGTATAAGTGAACCTGTTGGAGTCAAAATGCACATATTATCCATTGTTTTCTAGGTTAACTTGCTTATGATTTATTCTAACTGTATGTATTTTGTCTTCATCTTTTTATTATTATAACATGTTCAAAGTATTTTGTTTCAATTTGAATTACATTTGAAGTAATTCCTGCTTTCTCCTGACTCTTCTTTAAGGTGACCAGTTGTCTTGTAAAGGTGAACCAGCTGTAGTTAGTTGTAGTTGTATTAGAACCTGGAATTAACTCTGTCTCTATGTCTCAAGATGTCCTAGTCTTTCTTTATGTTTTATTCTCAAGATGTCTTAGTCTTTTTTATTATTTTACTACAGGTGTTCCCATGTTACGGAAACTCAGATTGCGGAAATTTGCCTATGCAGAATTTGTAAATTATGACCACTAAATTCAGGATATGGCCCGTAAATTTGACCTTACAGAAATGGGGTTAATTTTTAAAAATTTCAACACAAAAATTGCTATACTGTACGCTTGATCTCTCGACCCCAGCTCTTGGATTTAGCACTTATATATGAATCTTATTCAAGATGAGTGGAAAGAGGCCATCAAGTAAAAGTGAAAGCAGTGGATATAAAACTTGATGTTTTACAGAGTTTGATGCAGGAGAAAAACTTAGCCAGATTGCAAAAGAATAGGGCTTGCTATGTCACCCAATAATTCCCTTTGCACCACTTCATAAAATAATCAATGTATGTGTTTAAAAATGTGTACTATTTTAATTCACAAGTGTGCTTTTATTACTTATTTTTACCAAAAAAGTTTCTTTAGGAATGCATTCACAATTATAATGGAAGTCTGAGAAAATGGGGTTCACATTGCAGTCACCTTCTCAAGAATGCATCCCATCCGTGACCCGGGGAATTACTGTATCTGCTTGATTGTTCAAATTTTCTTTTTATTATATTTTCTTCTGTTTATTGAATACTTTTGGCAGAAATTCCACATTAACTCAGAACACTATTAACTGCAGTCTCATATAAACAAGAATTAACAGTTGGGAAAAGCAATCTGGATGAATTTGCTGGTAACAACAACCTGTCAAAAAGTTTTAATTTGAAAGTGGCCACAATGACTTCAGGAGAGTATACAACTAAGAAGTTTGAAATTTTTGTAATGAAGGCAATTGTCATGCTTTTTTTATTACAGTATCAGTTGTTTACCCTCTTATAGTCTTTTAACACCACTAAGCACTCTCATGCTGGCCAGACCCTTCCTGCTCAGCCCTATCTCACACTGAGAGCACCCCTCCTGTAAGCAGAGATGCTGGAACAGTACATCACTAAACCAGCCCTATCAATCACCTAAGTTCCTCCCACTAGCGTCAGTGACGGGCAGATGCATCTCTAAGGGTGCAGTTTGTGTCTGGATTACTATACCCAATGTTTATTAAAATGGAAAAATCGTTCTTGTTACCGACGCAACATGCTTTTAAAGACTGCGAGGGGGTGAGATTGTAAACGATGTCATTTGCGTTGATAGACTATGAGGGGTTGAGTTTTCTGACCATAGCCAGGAGTACCAGAGGGTTAAAGGGCTTGAATTCCTCATGTAGCCATGATAGAGCAAAAATATTAAATGTAAAAAAAAAGACAATGAATTGAAGCTTCATATTAAAAATTATGAAATAGAAATTCACTTCACTAAGTCATGGATTAATCATTACCGATTTTGATGCGAAGTCTTTGTCATGCAAGTGGTTACTCAGATTGCTTTTGAAATTTTAAGTAGCTATTAGTGTAGAACAGTAACTTCATAGTTCAGTAGTCACTTCAAAATAAGGTCCTAGGTTTCATTCCTAGCTCGGATGGGTGACTGGGTTTCTGCCTAGTCCACTATACTCAACAATGAAATTAATACTATTAGGCCATGCAAGCATTGAAATTGTCTGTAAAATAATGATAATGACAATTTGGTGCTGAATGCAACACCATATAAAAGAAATGTAAACTTGTGTGAAAGTTACATGTCGGGTTCATTTCTTACAATTAGGAAATTGATATTGCATCAAAGAAGCTACAAGAAGAGTGCAGGAGATGCATGTAAAAGCGGGAAGAAAAAGTGTCAAATAATGAAATTAATTTGTTAAACAAGATTTTATAAAATCTTATATTATTTGTCTGAAAAGGGAAGATAATGTGCTGTTAATGTGATTTCTGTTAAAAGTATTTGGTTGAATGTAGTGAGAGGTCCTGCTGGAGAACACAGATGTGATAGATTGTATATGAATGCAAGACTAGGTATTTGAACTTTTCTCCAAGTGTTTGTTGTTGAACTTCTCGATTAGTGTTTAGT